ATACGCGCGCGTATTATTTTGCATAACCTTCAATTATACAACACAGCTGCTTTTCGGAGCGTTCTGCCCAAACTCCGGCAGCAGCCGCTTTCAGTTCCCCTTTAATACCCCTATTCCCAGACGCACACACACAAACATTTACTGACAGCTCTTCTGAAAGACTTGTAAGCTATGGCAGCGTATATTACGCTCAAATGTCAGGATTTAAATATCAAACAGCTTCACACCACAATATGAGCCATACAGCTGTTAGGTTGAGCAGCACTAAAGATTTGATTGCGCCCGAGCTTCGCCTTCCGGATATAACGCGATAGAACATATGGCGCTAAAATAGTGGTGTCGGCGCTGGTATTAGCTTCTACGTCATTGGTTGTGAGCGAAAAAATCATTTCGTGCGTGTCCGAAAAATTGACGCAGGTGCAAATAAAGTGAATATTTTAAAAATCCACCTTGGAAAAAGAATTTGAACCACGGTTAGTTTGCGTGCAAACAGATGTTCAAGCGCACAGCCTAGCGTCTGCTTTTTTTTCTCGTTTAATACATGGAATCAACACCAGTAATTGTCAACTATGCACAACATAATCTGCTTCGAAATACAGTGAAAATAAATTCCTCTGCTCAGAAATGCGGTGGAAATAACTTTCATGCTTTACAAATACACGCGTCCTATATGTGCAGGCTTCGCAATACAACATTTAGTATTGAAAGTAATATTTCAGTTGATCAAGCGTACATTGAAAGCGGGCGTCAGAAACATTTAATTGCCCAACGACTTCGTAGTTTAAAGTCAGACACCCATTACAAAAGGCGCACGTGTTACTGTGCGTATTTGCATGAGACCACTGTCAAGGATGCATATAGAAAGTTTGAAGGTAGCCTACCAGGCTCAGCCATGGTTAACCTCCCTGCTTTTCTTTCATCCTTATTCTCTCGAAAAAAAAATTCACGCGCATAAGTGACCACGGTTTAAAGCACCATTTACACAGAATGCAGCCCTATTCGAAAGCTTCACTGCTACAATGCACTTTCAACTTTATTACTGACATAGTAGTAATCACAATTTAAAATTATCCAGTGGCATAGTACAGCAAAAACTATGCATTAGGTGTTCCCAGAACGCACTATAGGAAGTGGATATATCGCTATCACGATCAACTCTTAACAGTGAAGCTTAAAGATCTCCCAATGTTTCATTGCCTTGCCACGTTTTGCTACTCGGTGCGCAATACCTGGACCATGCTTCGAGGAAGAGAATATTCGTACTGGCAGCATCACCCTCTTGGAAAAATAATGTAGTGCAAAACAAAACAAGGAACGAAACCATCCCATTTGAATCAAATCATCCCATTATGATGGTTGGTTGGTTCCTCAGCATCATGGATCAACCCTTTCCATGGGATAGACCATGAATCGGACGGTGCCTTGTTTAGGAAACTGAATAAATTACTGAAGAAAAGGAACAGTGTTTGGGAGAACTGTATACATTCTTCCTTTTTAGCGGTGAGTGGTGAATAGTAGATTGTACCCATTTTTGTGGCACGTACCCGTTTGTGAATCGCAAAACGGCATACCGATTATGGCAGCTTAAAGAGCTTCTGCGTTAATAATAGTGCAGCTGAATGGGTGCCCCTTCATGAATGCACTCTAAGTCAAAATCACTAGAAAAAGGAGTAATGGAGCCCAATAGGCGCACGCGATGAACGGATAGACCGTTGAGGAGCAACCACAGAGGGAAGCGTGGCAGCGTGAATAAAGGGATGAAGCGCCCGGGCAGTGCGGGCAGCGCGGAAAAGCGTTGCCAAGGTGACCAGGCCTCCCTCTCCTCCTCTGATGGCTCAGTCTTTCCCCGTATTTTGCCGGCTGCGGTTGTGATTCGGCGCGCTAGGAGTGCTCGACCACGGCCGCCTAGATTCGGCGATCTAAGAACTACGACGTGGTGCTTGTGTGTACGCCTGGATGAGCGTGGGCTGCTGCTTTAGCGTTTCGCTGCACCCATGAACTCTGGAGCAATACTCGACAGGTCACCACGCTGCACTGTATATCTCTGCTTCAAGACAATCACGACCAACACACGACAGCAACAGTTGGGAAGGCCAATATAGCGGCCGAGAAGACAACAGGCCTATCGGTTATATACTTCAGTCCGACTCCTGGCAGAAAACAGTGCTGGATGCTAAGGCAAGTAGGTTATCATTCTTTATTCTACTCTACTTCTCGCATGTGCGATACGGATCGCACTTGCCGGTAACGGGCTCAATCGTGCTGTACATCGCACGCACGAAATGCATCGCGAAGGTCCGCTTCGGCGTCTTCAGTTCGCCTGTGCTTTGCGACCACCTAGAAATTGGCCGCCATTAGCCGTCGGCCTCCCTTACGCTCGCTCATCGATGTGCTCGCCTGCCTTCAGCCGCCGCGATTAGCTCCGTGCTGACGATACTTGGGCTGAGATCTCGTCACTGTGTTGGCAGTCGTCGAAAACACGTTGCGGGTTCTTGTAAAGAGCTTGGTTGTAGTATGTCGCACGCTGTAAGTGCACCAGCACCGGCTGGCGGGGCTTTCGCTAGCGTCGGAACTCACTGAAAATCGGTCGCCATTATAGTCGGTCGCAAGCAGCTCGGCACCGTTCGCAGGCCGCGGCGGCGGTCTCGCGTTTGCGCGCTGCACTCGCTCGAGTTTGTGGAAAAGAGCCGCATTGCCGTCGATTTCTTCGGCGCTAGCTCCAAACCAGCTCGGCGCTGTTCGTGGTGGGGGCAAAGCGTACGCTCGCGTTCCTGTTCCAAGTTCGCTGGCGGCAGACACTCCGCGTGCAGCGCCGTGTTTGGTCTTGCGTTTGCTTGCTCGAGCTAAATGACGTCGCTCGCTTCGGATTCGCCCACTTGTTAGCGGCACGGAGGTTCGCGGAGTTGTGGCTGCAGCCGCCGCTCCTAAGCTGTTGCGCTACGGGGATCGAAATGAATCTTTGACGATGTGTGATATCATGGTGAAATTATTAGCACGTCATATCTCGCGTATGTTTTCGTTTTACCTTGCACTTATTTCTCATGTGCATTTGTATTTTGTCACGTGTGACTCACTATTTTACATACTTATTGTGCAGCCGTGGGCACACAGCGTGCTGAAGACTGTGTGCGCTGGCGTCTGCGATGCCTGTCATCGATCTATTTCGTCAGAACAGCTTCAGAAGGACTGTGCGAGATTTGAAAGTAAAGTTATTTGTGTCATATTTTAACGCTTGTTTTTATATTACCGTGCACGTACTTGTCATATGCGTGCATCTTTGCCTTCTGTCACGTGTGTCTAACTACTTTTACTATATTATTGTACGTACAGCCGTGGGAACACAACAGGCTGAAGGCTGCGTGCGCTGGCGTCTGCAATGCGTGTCATCTATCGCTTCCGTCAGAGGAGCTCCCCAAGGAGTGAACAAGATTTGACAACGAGACTGGACTTGTACACTTCACCATGAATTCCCTTCAAAGAATGGAGAAACTTCATGTGTATGTAGAAAAATAAAATATTTCGATGTCTCACTTTTGTCGTTCGTTGTTGCCGTGACTGCGAAAGCAGTTACACATAGGTGTCTAACTACTTTTTTGCATGTTCTTTTCTTTGCAATTTGTTGCTCACTGCGCAAAAAAACAGGCGAAAAAAGTATTAGGCCTGGCGGAAAATAAACAAAAAACAATGTTTGAACTGGGGACAAAAAGTTCATCCGATTGGAGTATTTGAGTAGATCAACCGTTCGTCTGGCAAGGTGCAACTGTGAGGAAAGTGTAAATGTGGAGATTAACAGTTGCTCTATAAGGAACAAACGTGAGGACTAAATGTTAGTCCTTTGAAAAGAATTGTGAGACTAACGGTTACTCACTAAAGTGTAAGTGTGAGGACTAAATGTTAGTTCCTTGAGCTCATCTGTGGGTACTAAGTTAGACCCGGTGCCATTAGTCCTTAAAGGGAATAATGGTTGTGGCAGCCCCATTAGTCACCAAAAAGCCAAACCAGACACCCTTTTAACACCATTTTGCCTTAGAGTGTACGCAGACAAGATCAGCTCTTCTCTAGCTACTGATGCGCTTCTTAATTTTGTTGAGAAAAACATGGCTGCTAGATACACTGCGTACGTGAGCACATCTGATGGGGCACTGAAGACCGTCCTAAGGTCTTTTTTTAAGTTCAACTTCATAAAAATTATCCAGCGCTGAATTTTGCAAGAAACGCACAAAAGGACATCAGAGGACGGGTGCTTTTCTGCGCTTCTGCGTGTTCGTTGCAAAATTTAGAGTTGCGCAACCCTCATGAAGCTGTAATGCCTTAGGAATCAAATAAAGTTTGTTGTGTTGAGTGGCTGGCTGACTGACTATGAGTATACTCCACAACGTGTTTTGTTTAACGGAACCCAACTATTGCGATGAACCACACACATTACACGGAGCTGATAACGGCCTAATCTGGTGTTACGAGAAAAAACAATCGGGGTAAAAATGCGTTTCAACTGGTCTCGCTTGCATCGGTCAAATAAACCTGGGCTGACTATTGAGCATGCGATGGTCAGCGTACTGTTTAGCGCTACCATTCGGCACGAGCATTTTGTATACCGGTAATGTTACGTTCGTACCGCCACTGGAAGCGCCGTACTGCTGGGCAGTAAGAAGCATAACGAAAAGCAAAAGAAGCGCGTGTGCTCATTCACTCGGCAAGTCGTCTACCATCGTAATATAAAACCAAAATACATTTATTAGTGGCGTTTTCACGAGTGTTCAAAGCCGGGAGCGCTTACACCAGCGTGCAGTAACTGTTCGTATATATCGTAAGGAAATTCGTTGCCGGGCTCGTTTCGTTCTTCATTGCCAACTTCGGCCTGCATGTAACAAACGGGACGAGAAAGAATACACATAACGAAAAACTATAGCGTTATAGTAGCCGCTCCTCTATGCTGATAGGCCATGAAATCTAGTGGCAAGTTATCCTAGAGCAAAGATAATGAGCGACAGTGCACTAACCTTCATCCCGGCCTTGTGGTCAAATATGTCACCATATTGCTTGACGAAGCAGTTTGCTTTGTTCTTGAATAGTTTTCGCGTCCGTTTGCTCCACCACTGTCGCAATCGTCCATTCCCGTCGTATTGGCTTCCTGGCACAGCAAAAAAAAAAAAAAAACTTGCACCATTCTAGTACACCATGCGCTGCCTGAAAACTGCTAGCACGGGCGCTCCCGCTTACTTCTACGGCAATAAGCAACTGCCATCTTGAGCCGACATCAAACATATCTAACCACAGCATCAAAATCGAGCTACGCGATTCATTCATTCCTCGCATTCGTATGACATCGGCATTTCGCCCCTGAAAGCTGAATTTGGTCTATCACTTCCTTCTTATCATTACCGCATTGCTATCCTTACCCTCTTTCATAGGTTCTTTTATTATTTTCTCAGTGAAGTGCCCCCATCACAGCTGCATCACGCATTTCCCAACGCACCAGTAATCCACTTCAAGTTGCCCGCCTGCCATCGCATACCTTGACGTTTTCTGCTTCATTATCCTTCAGAGTCGCTTCAGACTGAAATGGCCCCTATGACAATATCAACATCGCCTCATCATCTAATTTTCAAGAACGCATCACTAATCATCTGCAATGGTAATCGAATCATTGCTGTTCAACTTTTACTTGTAATTCCACCCATTATGTAACACCCCCTAAATGGGGCCCTCTAAGGAAATAAAACTGAGCTGAACTGATACATAAAGTGATAGCTGCTGACCTCATCGGCCCCTACTCACTTGAAAAAAAAAGTGGCTGTAGAAAACTACCGGCAAATTTATGACAGAAACTTCGAGGTATCGCATCCGATGGATGCACTTGGTGGCCATGCGTGTTTTCATACCATGAAAAGCGGGCCATCGAATCTTCCGGCCGCTTTCACAGTGGAAGAATTACGTGACTCAAGCGGGAACGTCGCAGATTACGTCATACCACCATCAAAATTTCAATGAAATGATTAGGATGTTGTGTAGGTTGCCTGCCAATCCAACCTTGCCAAATTTGAGGGCAATTGCCCCACCCGGTTTACTCTTTGCTAATTGTACTGAACTAATGTCATTTTTAAAGCGAAGTGCGCGTATGCTCTTCAAAAGTGACGCGCAGGGCTACGTAAGCCTGCATAAGCAGATGGCGTGTGAGCTATACCGCAGACTGTGTTGCACCAAGCCCCCCGTAACGCCATACCACTCGCCAACAAGAACGTCACTCATCACCAGTCACATGCAAGGTGGGGGCGCTGTGAGCGCTCAATGGTGATGGACGCACTCCACATCGGCTCCGTGGACTTTCTTCAACTTCTGCAGATTACAACCTCTACACCTTCAATGCTGGGTTTCTCGTCACCACCACGCCCTACGCTTGACTTAGACACCACTCCTGTCCAGGTGGGCCCAGCTTTGACACTTTAAGACAGTTTTCACTCCGGCGTCTACGCCGCCCCGCTAAGGAGACCCTTTTGGCGGCTGTCTGCCCAGCGATGGCGGCTGCCAACGTGGTTATGGGCTACGACCCTGTCTCAACGCAAATAGTGTCCATTGACGTTTCTTCTCCTTGACAAGGTATGCCATCAGAAGACAAATATCTTGAAGACGTGCTTCGAATATGGAAACGCAACCAAGCGCAATCCAAGTCTGGGCCCCCAGCAACAGCGAGACGCCGCAGCTGGCCGTCATTCCCCAGCTGTGCAAGGAACGCCGGTTCCAAGACCCACCGGTAGTGCGTCTACCTCTGCTCCCTTATCGCTGCGGATGAAGCAATGCAGGTGGCGTCAACGTCAGACGCCTCTTCTCTATCGAGATGACTACATCGTGGTCATAAAACCACGCATTCCCATCGAGCTGCGCACATGTGTCCCGGCTGATTGCGCTGGCGACGCAATTCGGAGCTACCTGGTTGACCGCACCACCACACTAGTTCACGTGTGGCTGATCTGGGAGCAAAACACCTTCATCTGCAGTACTAGCGTGCTGGCTATGGCAGAGAAACTCCTCGGTGACTTGCAGCTGCAAGTGGGGAATCGACATCTGCCTGTCCGTGGCCACGCTAAGGCATCAGGGGATACGTGCACGGGTGTGATCACCATTAACCCTGCTGAAACCGCGGAAAAAATAAAATCGGAACTGTATTGGCCTTGGGGAACCATCTTCGCAGTCCGAAAACTTGGAGACTCCAAGCGGCGGTGGTGACTTTTGAGGGTACGAAGTTGCCCCGCTTCCTCTTCTACCACTGCGTGGCTATGTTTATGCCCCTTACAAGAAAGCCGTTCCAGCCTGCACTAGGTGCGGCACTATCGGCCATCGGCCACCAGAGTGCCCTCACCCCACTACGACCCAATGTACCTAGGTGGCACCCTTGCCCCCAAAAGCGTCACTGATTATGATTGCCACCCCAAGTGCCTTCTCTGCCACGGTGCATACGAGACTTGGACTAGTGTCTGTGCTGCAAAATACCGGAAACCCAAGTCGCCCTCAACATCGTAAGTGCCCACCTCATCCTCGTCGCAACAGAACGAAGGCACCCGCCTGAAGCAGACTGCTCCTTCAGAACCGGCCAACACTTAAGCATTCCCACCACTCTTCGAACCAGTGGCGTCACCTCAGGGTGAGCAGTTCGGCAGGGGTTGCTTCCAAGCCTCTTTGTCCCCCTGCTCTCAATCCTCCTATACCTGAACTTGTGACCCTTCGCCAGCAGGTTGTGCAGCTTCAAAAGCAAAATGAATATCTAACAAAACAGCTCGCACTCTTAACTAAGCAACTTGCTCCCCAACAAAGAGGCTCTGCAAGCCCCTCGGTACTGCCGCTCCTGTTCAGGCGGCTACGCCGGCAACCTCCAAGCCTAGCCCTCACGCTACGCGCACTTCGAATAACCCGCCGGCTCCTGTAGCCGACGCACCTACTCCGGAAGCTCCGGTAGCTACTGCAGCACCTCAGAATCCCTTGCCAACTAACCCAATTCCTCCCAGTCTAGAACGCGTTATTCGCATGAAGGATCACCTTACGCGCGTCGAAGCGTCGATCAGTCACCTCATTGATAGCTACTCTGTCCAACGCGTAGTAGTAGAGGTCATTCAGGCCATTCAAGCCTGGGCAGTCACTTAGTTTCAACCGGAAGAATCGCGTTCGCGCTCCTCTTCGGTTTGCAGTATGGTTTCAGCTCCACGACGTCGTCATAAGGTACCACCACCTCGTCGTCAGGCAATCCGGCATCCGTACCTCTCCCTGCTTTTTCAGGCTCTGAGCAAGGCATGGAGTGTGAAATATGAAACCTAGGATATTCATGATGGCTACCAACCGTACATCTCTTTCAAGTTTGTCAGAAAAATTTGAGATTATACAGTGGAACTCTAGAGGGGTTGGGAACAGGCGAAAGTGCTCACACCTTTCCTTCTTCTTCCATTCACTTGGCTCTCAGCCGGCCGTGTTGGCACTTCAAGAATCTGGCGCGACACCAACTCTTCCTGGATATTGCTCCTATGTGGGAGGCACCACTGCATGCCTTCTTGTGCATAAGACGTACACTGCGATACAGGTCGCCCTTGATCTTGATCTTCTATACGACTATTGTATGATTTCAGTGCAGTCTCAACGGAGATGCCAACCATTAATTCACATAAACGTGTATTGTCCCCCTCGTCTTGCGAGGACCTCCTTTACGAATCTGTTTCATAGGGCGCTGCGAACAGCAGATCGTCAACCGCTGGTGATTGTCGGGGACTTCCACGCCCCCAGTCCTCACTGGGGTTACCACTATGAGCAGGCCCGGGGAAGAGAGCTCAAGGAGCTCATCTCCTCGCTTAGCCTCACACTGCTTACCAATCCAGTACAGCCCACGCGTTCCGGCGATTCGGTCACACGCAACACATGCCCCGACCTCTCCCTGACGCGTAATATTCGCTATGCTACATTGGGAAAACTTGGGCGAGACTTTGGGAAGTGACCACTTTTTGCTTCGCATTTCCTTCCCTCCGCGTCAGAAAGTGCGCCAATACTGAGGTCTGGCCGGTCTCACAGGCTGGACTAAATTTAGAATGCAGTCATTTCCTATGATCCCCAGCTCGAGCGAATACGTGGCGTGGGCACCCTACGTTCTTCATATGCAGCGGGCAAACTATTCGCACCCTCAAAACATCTAATTTGACTCCTGCAATCGACCCACACCTCTTACATCTCTGGAACGCGCGCCGCGGGCTTATAAAGCGCTGGAAACGTAACAAACTCTGTCGAAAACTTCGCGCTCGCATTGAGGTGCTCACTGCAGAGGCTGCGGCATACTGTGTGCAGCTTGCCGATTCAACTTCGGCTGACACCTGCACAAAGGTGGCGAACCAGACGAGCTCTAAGGGCACCTGGCGGCTATTTCGTAGCCTTCTGGACCCCTGCAGCACCCCTCCACACAACGCCAGCTCCGCCGTAGTCTGCATGCCTATCAGGGCACTGCAGATCAACTCGCACGACAATTGTGCGACCGATACATCTGTCATACAACTGACCCCATAGGCCCAGAATATACGTATTCCGGCACCCGTAACGCCGAGCTCTATGCGCCTATACAGGCTTTCGGATTAACGGACTGCACTGGCGAAAATGCGACAGGGCATGGCCCCTGGGAGGGATGACATCACAGTGTCGCTTCTGGCTAACCTTCCCGACGAGGCACACCGCCCACTACACCACCTGACAAACTTGATATGAGATGGCTCCCCGCTGCCATCGCAATAGACAACATCACTCGTCACATTCATACCCAAATCAGGCAAACCGGTCAGCATCGAGGCACTGAGACCAATCTCACTATCCTCCTGCGCCAGAAAGCTCATGAAAACCATGGTTCGTGAACGAACGCCTTTCTGTCTACCTGGAGGCCAGGGGGACCTTTGCTGACTTGATGTTTAGCTTTCGCCCACATTTGTCGGTGCAGGACATCATGCACCAGCTTCAACACGGCATAATTGAACCGACCACTATGCGCTGTAACGATAAAGCCGTGCTCGCACTCGATTTTAGAGGAGTGTTTGAATAACGTCAAACACAGTAGTATTCTTTCTAGCCTCTTTACCACAAACTGTGGCCAGAAGGCTTTCAATTACATTCGAGCCTTTCTATCTGATCGGCGCCGCTTTCATCCACCTCGATTCTATCGAACATGGCCCGTACCTATTAGGCGCACGGGGTACTCCCCAAGGTGCAGTCCTGTCACCCCTACTCTTTAACCTGGCCATGAAGAACCTCCCCTCCTTTCTGCGCGAGGTCGAGGGAATACACTACGCACTATACGCAGACAACATTACAATTTGGACCAATACCGGCTCCCTAGCACAAATCGAAAAGCGCCTACGCAAGGATGCCCTTCTGGTGAACGCCTACGCTGCTTCGTGTGGCCTAGAGTGCTCTCCAGCTGAATCGGCTATTCTCTCAGTATCCGAATTACCTCCCTTCCACGTTTTGCTCCCGTCTGGTCCCGTTCCATCAGTCGAGAAAAATCGAGTTCTTGGACACCACATCACTTCATCTTTGGATCCCAAGGACACAATCGCAAGCCTCCGACAAACCAGCGAACAGGTGAGCCGTATGATACGGCGGGTATCTACCACGCGTGGCGGCCTCCGTGGGACCTAGTCCATGCGGTTGGCTCATGCGTTTGTGACCAGTCGCGTCCGTACACCTCACTTACATTCGCCTGCGTCGTCAGCACGAGCACCAGCTGGACGTCTTCCTTCGTTCAGTATACAAACGTGCACTCGATCTTCCCATTGCCACCTCCCAACAGCTGATTCGCGGCACTGGGGGTACATAATTCTTTTGTAAGGCTGTGGGAAGCTCAATGTGTTAGCCAAGTTAATCGTCTGTCGCAGACGCCCTCAGCTAGGCATCAATGCGATCTCCGATCTAGACACTCCGACGCCCATACCGGAACTCTGGCGACAAAAACTGTGGGTGCAAACACTACCCCGCAACATGAACCCTGAGCTACATCCCAGCCGCAGGCTAGCACGTTCCACGGCACTTCAGACGTGACACTCTGACCACCCTGGCGTTTTCTACGTAGACGTCTCGGGCCCCTCCCCCTCAGGTCACTTCACGGTCACCGTGATCACAGAGGGAAAACACGTTGACCGCCTCACCTTTAGAGCCAACACTGTGACGCAAGCTGAGGGGGTTGCTACTGCTTTGGCCGCCTCGCACCCCACCTCACGCATCATCCTGATGTACTCGCGCTCAGCCTGTTCCTAATACCTTCAGGGTTCCATCGCCCCACTAGCAGCTGACCTACTTCGGGCAGCCTCTTGGTGCTCTAACACTCAGCCCATTCGTATAGTATGGACCCCAGGCCACTCGGGCCTGCCCGGAAACGAGGCGGTGAACGCCGCTGCCCATGCTTCTCTCATCCGGGCCGTTGCCCCTCCATGTCCCGAGTCGGAATCAGGCAATACGAATCTGACGCGCTTTCGTGAAATTCTTGCCTATTACCGGGCTTCACGCCACCTGTACCCGGACCCCACAAGTAGTCTGGAGAAAGCGGACGAGCGGACACTACGCCACCTCCAGACGAACACCTATCTCAGTCCGGCGGTCGTGAGACATTTTTTGCCGGAAATCAGTGGCACCTGCTCGACCTTCCAGATCCTGGATGACACCTACCACGTCGTCGCTTCGTGCCCTACTAACCCCCTTCCTTTTTCACCCTTTTTCCTCATTCCTACTAGAAGGGCTTGGGATGAGTACCTGCTCCGCTGCTCAAGCTTAGATGCTCAAAGCTCCTTGGTGAGGCGCGCTCGAGCAGCGGCCAACTTCATTGGCATCCCAGAAAAGGGTCTTGCCAATCAATCATGAATTATGCCACAACTATCTGGTACAATTTCTATAATAAAATGTTTCTAACATCATGCGAGTCTCTAACAAGTTTTCCTGGCGTTTCATAAGTATATTTCTTTTGCTGTTGTCAGGTGCTAGTCTAGGTCTTTGGAGAGTCCAACGCCATGTTGTTCGCGGTTATCACTGCGTTCCTATCCTCACATCTTGCCAGCGCCAGAGTTGACCTCAATGTGCCGCTTTACAAATGAGGTCATACATGACGTGTCTGTCAGGATCACGTGAGTCTTCCGCATGTGACAGCAACTGGGAGTCCCGTTACAGCACTCTTCAGAATTAGGAAATACACCATTTTGAAATCTTCTTTTCAGGACCACCGAGTGACATGTGTTTATGTTTTCTAGTGCGCACAGACGCCATGCTCACTCATCTGATTAGCATGAAACGTTTACTGAAATGAGTAAGATATAACTACGAAACAATTATTGGCTCATAGATTTACTGCTATCGCTAGCAGAGCTTCGGCTTTCGCACTAAACTGTGATGTTCTTGATTGTCGTTCTGTATTGTTGACACACTGATTTACGTTGCTTTGCTATCCTAGATACATGGCACGTGCCCATTTTGGGTGATTGGCCAAGAATGCAACGTAGAGACTGGTAAATTCTATTTTAGGTAATCTATAAAATTTAAAACCGAAAATAAAAAAATGAAATGTAAATATATGTAAAATATTCAACTTAACTACAAGTAATATGCTTTTGAGCCTGTATTCTAGACCACCGTAATAACCTGACGGGATTAATTTTGAAAACTTAAGTTTTAACCTAATGAAATGACGAAGAATTTCAAATACCATGTTAAAATGACGCTCGTTGAGTATTTTAATGAAATTACACACAGATCTTTTTACACCTTCATCTTCGTCACGTATCTCTCGTTCTCCTCCTTTTATTCCAAACCTAGTGGAAGGGCTCACGCCTGATATTGTGATTTTATTCGTGTCTCTTACCTTAACTAATTTTCTTTCTCGGTAAAAAAGATATGCAGTTTTTTACAGTGAAAAAGTTCATACACAATCATTGTAAAATGAGCCTGCTTACCGCGATCATCGTATCCATGGGTCATTTCGTGACCAATGACCGCGCCGATGCCTCCAAGATTGATTGAGCTGATATTGAAAAAAAAAGTAAAGATATTTCTAAAAGGCCGGACATGTTGAAAATTTTGAACACGGGTGCGCTTACGCGTTAGGAATGCTAAAATGCGCAAAATCTATTATGTGCAAGCACAAGCCATGAACTCACTCTGGCAAACCATGCTTGTAGAACGCACCTTGTAGTATCGCTGACGGGAAAACTGGAACCACCAGAGAAGATCGCGTTAGTAGGCGAGTTGTTGAATGCTTGGTTCTTAAATACAGTGCACCCACAGTAGGCAAATGACATGCGTCATTTATATATATATACTGAAATAACACGGTTCCGTGGTCGCTTTATTCCAGAACAATACAGCTCCGACGACGAAGACGAACGATGAAAAGAAGGATGACGGCTATCTATAGATGAAAAAGATGAAGCGCAATAAATGCTTACGTTAGGTTGATTATAGTCGACGTCGATATCTTTATACGCTAAATGCATGTACGCACATAGCGTACAAGCCGCATGCTCCTCATTTCCGTGATTGATTTTGAGCACTGATTACCTATGAGTGTGTGGCATACTCACGCATTTCGTTTCTGTCAGCACTGTAAAAAGCGTTAACGATTGCAGGACCCGAAGACCACCTGAAATCGAGCAAAAACGCAAGTTTCCAGGCAACGTTGCCTTTTGAAATATAGGCGAGCAGCCGGAAGAACTAAAGCCATGAGTCACTTTTGGCTGGACAGTGATTAGATTGATACTCAGTTAAACGACTCTTTCAAGACACCCCAGTCACGACCAAAAGTAGTTGCAAATAATGAATCACTCAAAATAAGCTATATATCATCATCATTTGTCATAGAACGCAGATATTTGAGTGGAAACGCATACGAGCTAAAAATTTAAATATGAATTGAGTTATCAGCTCATGTGTGCACTACGTCTTCGTTTACTTATTCGTTTAGTGACATATTCAATACTTCATGCTTGAGCGAGCGCATAAAATTAGAGACCTAATCAAGCTATCGATTAGATCATGCATGGCTAAACTAATATATATGTACCGAAACAACGCAGTGAATGCAATAACCTTGGGCATTACAGAGATACGAAGATCTTTTTTATTGCGCCGCGTTGTGAGCTAAGTATATCGAGTTACTTGAAGCGTTGGTCTACCGGTTCCTTAACGAGCATCTCTGTCTGGAAGAGTACGATTGAAGCTATTAAGTAAGAAACTTAAAAGTAGAAAACTGTGTGCGTTGACACTGACACCCCCCCCCCCCCCCCGTCTCCGACGCCCGTTCCGTGTCGCTACACCTCCAACCAAACTGTAGTCAAAAGTAACCTTGCGTCAGCACCGATCAACGGCCCTCGCTATGCTTTGTTTTGATTAGACGGCCGGCTTCCTCCGGTCCGTGCCAGTTCTGAGTTGGCTGTTTTCTGCCGGACAAAGCAAGAACCTCAGGCGCGAAGACCATTGAAAATGCACAGCTGTGGCTTTCCACAGGAAGCTCCCGACGCTGTTCCGTGCTCGGCCGCACCGCTTTTTACGGCGGTGAGCCTCGCCCAGTCCTGGTGCAGTGCCGTTCCTCTTTCTGGACTCCAGCCCGACCGGCTCAGCTCTCAAAGCCAATCCATTTCCCAAAGTTACAGATCCGTTTTGCCGACTTCCCTTGCCTACATTGGTCTATCGACTAGAGGCTGTTCACCTTAAAGACCTGCTGCGGATGCGAGTGCGGTCCGGCACGAAAATCACACTCCCTCACTCAGATTTTCAAGGGCCGACAGGAGCGCACCGGACAGAGCAAGAGGGGCACTGCTTCACGAAGTACAGTAAAAAAAACTGTGGTCGGGGCTTTTGTCTACAGAAAATGCAGAATGGTTTTGCAAGCCATATTTGGCAACCAGGAATATACAATACGGCCTTGATTACAATAGGCTGTCAACGGCCTTTATTAGACATGGCATTTCAGTAGCGCAGTGCGTAGAGTTTAACAGTTTTCAACACTTTGCCTCAAGCGTAAAAAACAGCATATCCACGTTGTGAATGAAGATGAGTGCGGCGAAGCGTTCGTCCATCCGTCCGTCCGTCCTTCTGTCTGTCTGTCTGTCTGTCTGTCTGTCTGTCTGTCTGTCTGTCCGTTCATCAACTATACGAAATCGTCCATCCATGTATCCATGCGTTCGTCAACTATACGAAATCGTCCGTCCATCTATGCGTCTGTCCAACTGTCTGTCTACCTGCTTGTCCATCCCTCAACTATACGAAGCCGCCAACTACATAAAAACCGCTAACGCCATCTAGTGATATTATTTCTGAGGTCATATACACACAACGTCATCTATTGAGTAATTAATAAACTACAGGTGGCTGCACACTACTGCTACTACTACAGATGAGGGGACGACCCTCGCCTCAAGGAGCTTCGCCCCTAAAAAACGTTTATTGATTTTTCGCAACCGCGCAATACATGGCTCTAAAAACCACAGCACTTACGTCAACGTCTTGTTGAAAGGCTCCCGTAGCTCGAGAAGTCCGTTCTTGTAGTTGTTGTCAGAGATATCCTCCTGGATTCTCACAAACGGTTCATCATGTCTGAGTTCGTCGAGCTGAAACCAAAGGACGCATGTCAAGGCGCAGCCAAAAACAGTTTAAAACGTGTATTGCTGGCTCACGTGTCTGTACAGATGTTCCAGAAAGTCAGTGTCCAGCATCCACTCTGGGTATCCGATATTGGGCGTCATATTCTTCAACTAGAAAGAAGACAGGGGTGAATGAGTCTACTTTTATTTTCAGTTACCTCACGACGCGTAGTTGGCGATACTTTGTGGCAACAATAGTACAAACGTGCACTGTAAACCAGTTTACACCCTTAAGGGTGCTTTTAAAGTCTGAAACTAACAACCTACAATTATTTTGCGCCCTTGAGGGAGTTTTCAATGTCTAGAACTAGGACCCTATACAGTTAGGGTGTTTTGGTTTGCCAAAATACCCATACCGTAGGGTGTTCGTTATAGACGTAAAGAAACCCTTAGCAGTGCAAAATGATTTGCAGTGTATACGGACTGATAGATATGTACGTGAGTGCGAGCGTAGATTACTCACTTATTGAAACCGAAAACGTAGTGTGAAGCAATGCACGTGCTTTTACTTCCAGTGTCGTATAGTTCGTGTCGTACCGGCGTAACTTCAACTAGAACAGTTACGTCAGTCTAGCGGCCCGATTTGCAGCGACATGATACATACATACATACATACATACATACATACATACATACATACATACATACATACATACATACATACATACATACATACGTACATAAATATATACACACATACATACACATACATACATACATACATACATACATACATACATATACATACATACATACAATACATACATACATACATACATACATACATACATACATACATACATACATACATACATACATACATACATACAGACATACATACATACATACATACATACGTACATAAATACATACATGCATGCATGCATACATACATACATGCATGCATACATACATACATACATACATACATACATACATACATACATACATACATACATACATACATACATACATACATACATACATACATACATACATACATACATACATACATACATACATACATACATACATACAATGCCCTTCCCCTGTAAAGAGCATCACGTAAGGTGCGTTCACACTTGGCCTTGAAGAGATCAGTCAGTCAGTCAGTCAGTCAGTCAGTCAGAGAACTTTATTTGGTCCTGAGAAGACGAGAATGCCCCCGTCAGGGGGTACCGTCTGTGGGCCCCGCCCACGATGGCACCGGGAGGTTAAAGCTCTCGGCGACTTCGCGGGCTCTCTGGACAGCCCTTAGTTGCTGGTCCTTTGCAGAGCTGGTGATAAGCTGCAGCCAGTCTTCCTCAGTGGAGGGAGACCCTGAGCCCCCGTGCAAGTCGTGACACTGCCACAGCATGTGCTGGAGAGTGCACCTCGGATGCCCACAACGTGGGCAGCGTGGGTCTATTCCGTCTACGAATTTTTACCAAATAAACGGACATGGATACGTGCTTGTTTGTAACATTCGCAGGGTGATTGCCTGTGGTATGTTTAGATAAGGGTGTGGAAGCGAAAACTTCCTACGCACTTGCTGATAGTGCTCACAGACCTCATTGAAAGTGAGAAGAGGGTCCTTTTGCCACTGCCCTCCCTCAGCCTCCAAGTGCCCACTTCGGCGCGGTGCGTGAGACCTCGCGCCTGGGAGTGTGTAAGTTCGTAGGCGTTTGGGATGGTTTCGTGAGCATTACTGCCCACATGACCAGGGAACCAAATTATACGCTTTTTGCCTGTCCAAGATGCAGCAGAGAGAGCGCGCGCAGCTTCTTTGCACACCGAGCCTTTCATAAATGCTCTAGTGGCGGCTCGCGAGTCCGTGTAAATAGTAGAACGGTTCGTTGTGGCCATGGCGAAGGCCACTGCCACCTGTTCCGCTTTGTCGGCATCCGAATTTTTGAGCGTAAGTGATGTCAGCAGCTCTCCCCGTAACGACGTAGCTGCTGAAACAAAGTGATTGGAAGCTGCGTATTGCGCTGCGTCAATGAAGGCGACATTGTCCTCAATCGTAGCCGCTGTTTGAAGAAGGGCTCTGGCCCTTGCTTTGCGTCTGCTGCAGTTTTATTGGGGGTGCATGTTTCTAGGTACCTGAGATACTGTATACATTTCCCTGACTATGATAGGGAGCGCGCACTCCCTCTGTGTGGCAATGGGACACCGTATACCAATATGCGCTAGTAACTGTCTGCCAGCCTCCATGGAAGCCAGTCCTGCAACTAGGGTGACCTGTTGTGCCTCTAATATTTCGCTGAAGGTGTTGTGGACACCCAGCGCCAATAGATGTTGTGTAGTGGTGCTCTGTGGGAGACCCAGTACCTTTTTCATGTTCTTGCGAATTATTGATTCTAATCGGGCTTCATCCCTCCTGCTCCACTTGTGGGCCAGAGCTTTGTAGTTGATGTGGCTCATTAGGAAGGCGTGAAAGAGTCTACGAAGGTTCTCCTCGGATAACCCCCCTCGTTTGTTGGCCACCCTCGTGATTAATTTTGTCATGGAATCGGCTTTCACTGCGATGCGTTCTAACGTGTAGGCATTACTGCCATCCTCCTCCAGGAACATACCGAGGATTCTAACTTTCTTTACGACCGGAATAATAGAGCCGTTCGTTGTGGTGATCAAGATATTGGGGAAACTTCCTTTCTTTGCAGCTATTGTTGGCCGGTAAAGGAGCAGTTCCGATTTGTTAGCCGACAAGCAGAGTCCTGCCTTGTGAAGAAAATCTTCGACAACCCTGATCGCTGTTTGTAATCGCTCTTCAATTTGCCTATCACTGCCTCCCTCGCACCAGACGGTGATGTCGTCAGCGTAGAAGGCGTCACCGAGATCTTCAATCTCCGCCAGACTGTGGGAAAGTGCTCTCAGCGATACGTTAAATAGAAATGGGGTTAGCACTGCCCCTTGTGGAGTGCCTCTGGGTCCAAGATCAAACGTCTTCGAGCCGAGAGACCCTAGGCGAATGGTAGCTTTTCTTTTCTTAAGAAATGAGCTGATTTAATTGTAAAAATGTTGTCCTAGACCCGCTTCTTTATTAGAATGAAGTATGTGAGAGTGTTTGACCTTGTCGAAGGCCTCTTCCAGGTCAAGTGCCACAACAGTTCTGGTGTCTCTGGAGACCCTGCCAATGATCTCGTGTTTTAAAAGCAACATTACATCCTGCATTGACATGGACGGCCTGAATACAACTAGATTACATGGGAATAGATTCCTTTCCTCAGCAAATTGAGTGGCCCGCTTGAGGATAACGTGCTCGGTGACCTTCCCTACACATGAAGTGAGAGATATCGGCCGGAGCGAGCCAAGCTCCAGGAGTTTCCCCGGCTTCGGAATGAGGATGACGGTCGCGTCACGCCTCTCTATTGGAACCTCGCCGGTTTCCCACACCTCGTTGATTTTTTTCGTTAGAAGCAGAATATCCTCGTCAGGTAAATTCTTTAGGAGTTTGTTACTGATCCCATCGGGACCCGGAGCTGATCTGCCGTTGAACTCATATAGAACCTCTCGTACCTCTGCGCACGTGAAGGGGGAACTAAGAGGGTCTATTGCGTTCTCTGGCAAAGCAGGAGGGTAGTCATTGCGTGAGGCGGGCTCTGTGCAAAGATATCTCGAGGCGAGCTCATCGATTTGTGTCTCTGTCAGACCAGAGTTCGTTAGATTGTGGATAAGTCTGTCAATCGTAAGCTGCTGATTGATTTTGGATTGTTTATCTCCCAGTAGATGTTTGAGGAGGTTCCACTTCGCACCACTCCTCATTTGCCCGTCGACGGCATTGCATACTTCGTCCCATTGCTGTAGAGCTAGCGTTTCACTATGCTCATCTATCTGCCTATTAAGTTCAGCATTTTTTTTGCGTAGGCGTCGGTTTAGTTTCTGCGTTTTTCATTGAGCCTGCAGCGCGTTTTTAGCCTCCAGAAAGTGGGCTAATCGACTGTCCATGCGCTCTATCTCTCTTTCTGTCTTCACTTCCTTTGTGGAAGCAGCAACGTCTTCTTTCAGGCGAGTTATTAATTCGTTTAACGAGTTGTATTTATTCTCGTCTTGCTTTCTGATAGCTCTAAATAGGTCCCAATCTGTGACGTGAAATTTTCTGAGCGGTGGTAACGGGATTCTTATCGCGAGGCTGGTAATGTAGTGATCACTACTAAGATTCTTTTGTGTGTTAGTCCATATGGGTTCCTCTGCATTCCTAACCATGGTCAAATCTGGTATGGTATCTCTGCTAACCGAATTGCCTATTCTGTTGGGGTATCGTGGATCAGTGACCAATGTGAGACCACAAGCTATGATCTGTGCTGCGAGGGCTTTGCCTTTTGCGGTATCCTTAACATAGCCCCAATCTTGATGATGTGCGTTAAAGTCCCCTGCTATGATGAGCGTTCGATCACCTGCAATTTTACACGCTTTGTGGAAAAGAGCATGAAACGTCTCTTTTCTGTCGGCTGGTGAGCTGCAAACGTTTAAAATAAAAACGGATTGCTTAAGTTTAGCGTTCGGGATGAGCTCGATCATGATGTGTTCATTATTTAAGTCCGGCCTAACGTCATGACGTAAATAGGCGAGATCCTTTGAGAAGAGTGTCGCTACACCCCTCTTGCCATCCTTGAAATACGCTTCTGCACGATAGTGACGAAGAGCGATGACATCGGTGAGCGTTTCCTGAAGGAGGATTACTGATGGCCTTTCGGTAGCAAAGCTAAGAAAGTGTTGCAATAATGCCTTTATTTTGCGGAAGCTGACGCAATTCTATTGTCAGATTACTATATTGCTTGCGTTAGCCATTCTACTGACTCGAAGGGGGTGTACCAAGCAGTGCGTGCTGCCTGTATAATTCTAAAATTTGAAGCCTCGCGGTGTGCTCGGTCAGTTGGAGCCTAATAGGAGTAATTTCAGCAATGACGTCATTTCTTAGCTTTTCAAGCAGTGTTTGGATGCTTGAGACGTTAAGCGCCTCCTCGTCCATGCGCTCAGGGCCTGCCCTGCGTTTCGCGCCTCTGTTGACGGACGCTGTGGCTGCGGTAGCTTGATCGCTAGACGCGCGCTCTCGCTGCTGCATTTCTTGCAAGATTGACTTATTATCAGCTAGTTCCTGTCCAAGAGACGCATTCTCACGCTCTAGTGATTGTATTTTGTCTCGCGTTTGCTGTGACAGTTGCCCTGTTTGCGCGGGGGCATGGGCCTCACCTGTTCCAGCTACCTTGTCCGCCCAGGTAGGTTGCGAGTTGAAGCCACCCCGCGAACTCCGAGAGCGTTTCGTGGCGGCGTTCCTTGGAGCAGCCGCAGCTGGTGTCGTGGTAGAAGCGGCGATTTCCCAGTCTCCGGCGTTGCTCGTAGCGTTCTTCGTCTTGTGACCGCCTTTCCTACGTCGTCTTCTTACAACGCAGGGAACTTGGTATCTGTTTTTGCAGGTACGGTCACCGGCGAAGTGAGCGTCTCCGCATAGCGCGCACTTCGGTTGCACACATTCGTGTTCGTTGGCGATGATCGAAGTCCCGCACTTTTCACACACTTTTTCAGTCGGTCTAGGGCAGACATCGTGCCTGTGGCCGATTCGGCCACTGTTACGGCAAGTGTCGATTTGTCTCCTGTACAGTGTACAGCGTAGCATGTTGGGGCCGCAGTGAACATAGTTGGGCACTTTCATGCCGTTGAACAGTACAATTGAAGAGATCGAAACCAGCGAAACTTTGAAAACTGGCTCTTTTCGCCGCCTAAGCGGTCGGAAGACCACGCCGCGTGACCGGCGCGCTAAAATCGGTCCAAGCGCGATTTTCCCGCCACACGAAACCAGATCCGGTTTTCGCTTCACAGCCTTGGCTGCGCTAGATCAAACCACGGGACTTAATCAGCCGGCCCCAGATTCAACATGGCGGCACAGGCATCGGGGGTAACTGATATCGGCTCAAATCGAAAACTACCTGTGCAGCACGACGAAGCTTGATGGCCTCAACGAGGACGCGCTCATCGAGAGCCTGACTTGGATTACGATCACCGAGAACTCTGGAAGTAGACGGTGCAGCGGCAGCGAGTCGGCATGCCCCAACGTGTCACGCGTTTGTGTATACAGCCAGCTGAATGCGCCGCCGCCGCTGCCGGAACGTTCGCTCGTGTCGTTTCTGCTGGCTTATCTCCCAAGACAACCTTTGAAAAGGTGTGAGCTGTTAACTTCTTTACTAGAATTCGCTACGAACTTTAGTTCTCAGAAAGCAGGCCAAATCGAATTAATTGTTAAGGTATTGACGGCAGCGGCGGCGGGATGGGGCAGAACTAATGTGAACATCTTCGACGCGCGCGGTCGGGGTTTTCCGGCTGCTCTGGCGTTTCTGTTTTTCTTCAACTCAAGTGTGAACGCGCCCGTAACACCCCATATACACCGGCGGAATTATCTGTTTTTTCGTTAGAGAGTTTTCTGTCTCTCAGCTAAATATCAGCTTTAATAAAATTTTAACAGATACGCAGTCTGACAAAAAATTCCTCGGCTGAGAATCAATAACTGTATTCACAAGTCCATAAGGCCTGCTACGGTATGTCTTGTTCAGAGATTTGCCCGTAAGAGACACATAAGATCGAAACTAATGCTAATAACGGTCTGAACACAATAGCTCCAGCGTTCATAATTCTATTTTTGCAAAAAAGTTTTAACATTTCTTTTTTGTGTTTCACCAGATCGGATGACGGTACCTCAGCTCATGTCTTAAAGTTCATTCGACGTTATGTACTGCATGGTTACTATTAAATTTTTCAGTGTGGCTATAGCTTGCCTTTTTGGAGCTTTCTTTGATCACTGGTGACTCTTAGGAACAAACTGCATTTTCTTATTTTGTGAGACCTCAAAGAACGAAGATCAAACAGCGTCTTCGGTGTTGTCAAAAACACAGTAGCTGCACAACGAGCGGCATGGGGATCGCACGACACCGATGTACAATTTAGACAATTTTGTCAGCATAATATACATATTGCGATTGAAATATTTTTATTTGCAATGTTGTTATGAAGCGTCGTACCCCCCCCCCCCCCCCCGTAAGTAAACTGGTGTTGTTTATTTGAAAAAAATGTTCTTAATTCAAATATGAAAAAAGTATTGGGAGACTCCTAAGATTCCTCTTTAGAAGTTGAACGCAATAGTGATACATTTTCCCTACTGCTTACTTCGACAACTTGATGCATGCCCCACCACGATGGTCTAGTGGCTAAGTTACTCGGCTGCTGACCCGCAGGTTGTGGGATTGAATCTCGGTTGTGGCAGCTGCATTTCCGATGGAGGCGGAAATGTTGTCGGCCCGTGTACTCAGATTTTGGTGCACGGTAAAGAACTCCAGTAGGTCAAAGTTTCCGGAGCCCTCCACTACGGCGTCTCTCATAATCATGTGGTGGTTTTGGGACGTTAAACACCTAATGCATATATTTCATTGTATGATGTTGCTCGAGAAGTTAAAATTCTGGATTACTACATACAATCGATAAAGTTGAAAGTGGCCTGTGTCAGGAAAGCTTTTGCTTATGAAGGCATCACGTGTAATGGCTTGCGTGCTTTAAAACACGAGCAGTTATGCGCATTAAATGTTTTGGAACTTGCTAAGCACCCACTACGTGGTTTTAGGGGGACACGCGCAGTAATGTGTGTGCCTTTTGTGAAGGGTGGCTGGCTAGCAACCACATTGTCGTTATGATAATCAGATGTTCTAGCACCCAGTAGCAATTTACACTTATACCACACAAGTTTACTGCGATATTAGATGTTGTATTGTGAAGCCTTTGTATAGGACTTCTGTGTTTGTAAAGCTACAAAGTTATTATCACTGAGTTTCAAGCAGAGGAAGCTATCTTTACTTTACTTCCAAGTAGATACGTGGTTTTGTGGTAGAGTGCCTTCTTGCCCTACAATTGATTATTTATTTATTTACTTATTTATTTATTTATTTATTTATTTATTTATTTATTTGTGGGGCCTAACGTCCCATTACCACCATATGATTATGAGAGACGCCGTAGTGGAGGGCTTCAAAAATTTCGACCACCTGGGGTTCTTTATCGTGCGCCCAAATCTGAGTACATGGGCCTACAACACTTACGCCTCCATCGGAAGTGCAGCTGCCACAGCCGGGATTTGATCCCACGACCTGCGGGTCAGCAGCCGAGTACTTTACCACCGTGGCGGGGCCTACTTGCCCTACAAACGGCCCTGGCTGGATACTCACTCGGACCCGCATGTTTTTGTTTCATTTGCACCTTTCTCGAGTTTTCAGTCGCGCATAAGATGATTTTTCGCTTTCAAGCAATGACATCCATACCGACGCCCACCGTTACACCAACGCCGACACTGATGCCGCAGTTCCAACGAAACGAATTATTTCTGTATTCCTTCATTAAAGAAATACCATCACCATCCTACAGCTTTTTACGGAATTCCCACACAATCGTGTGCCGATATAAGAATATTCAGTAGTTTTCTAAAGAGCCCTTATGTGTCCATATATCCCAACACTGGATGGACCAGTATCTTTTCCTGTCCTTCTCTGCAGATCACCAATAATCCACATATTTCTCTCAATTTTCTATATAATCCATATGAGATCATATCACATATCCCAATACCCAGGACGCTATCATCCTCTTCTAGGCTCGACTTGCCCTGATTTGTCACGAGGAGCAAAAATGCACTCGTAGCTTATATTACAAATACGTGCCATACCTTTTGTTGCGCTCTTTGTTTGGTTACTGCATCCATCCACTTTATTTTTTGTAATCTTTCTTGAAACGTGCGCTTCATACTCTTTACAAGTTTTTCCACCTTGAAGGAAGACGTGGGAAGCAACGGTAAGTGCGATTTTTTGAATAAAACTTTTTCTGAAGGCGATCAGAATCATACCATTTGACGCGCCGACGCACAAAAGCAAGCACACTTTTTACACCATGACATATAGTAAGGGACATGGCGGGTGCCAGCGTACAAAGAACTGTAAGCTGCTAGTCGCAATTCTGAACGCTGAAGTGATGTAGGTCAGGGCAGCTCCAACCTCAGTGACTGACTCACTCTACTTCTTTTGCGTACACTGATCTCTCTTACTTTTTAAAGACGATAGTTTTTCTTGAGGAGCTTCGACAAAAAAATTTTGGTCTGTCTGCATGTATGTCTGTACATTTGTCTGTTTGTCTGCCCCAACCGTACCTCAAAGGGCACCAAACGGCCAATGCCTTTTGCAGCGCCCTCCAATATTTCTCAAGGTTAAGAGTTCATAGTCATGCGATTCTCAATTAAAAAGCAATTATTGCGCATATCTGAGGCGCCATAACAACACCTCGAAGTTTTGTATGCCTGCCTTTATACTAGAAAAGGTACACACAAGTAACTCTAAGAAATGTAGTGCTGACAGTGCAACGCGATGCTCAAAAAGGTGTTTCCAACGCTTTGCTACGACGTCACGGAGGTGGCACCTGCCCATCGTTTTGCGTTCTACACCTTATCACCTCCGAGACTGGCGCGCATCTTTCTCTGCGGGCTGCACGCCTTCGTTTTTGAAGATAACTACCAGATGGCGCTTGTTTCTAACATGCCTCGATGCGCTAGTTCAGCTCCGCTACACGCTCGAGGCACTCTAACGCAGCTCCTTTAGAATACCATTCCCAATTTTCTTGCGCAGAACATCAAACAAACGTTTTGTTCACTCTCTTCAGACGCAAGACTATCGTCTTTCTACTACATTTGGGGTGTAACATGCAGATTTGGAACCACTTTTTCTCTGTTTATTCCCATTAGCTTATTCTGCTGACTAGCAAGCGCTCGTCTTGTTAACCTCTCGGCATTTCCTTTTCTTGATTTCTCTCCCTAAGTAACCGTTCGTGCAACATCTGACGCCGACGTTATCACGTAAAATGCCAACAAGTCCCTGAATCGAAATAAATCGTTCGACTTTTATGCTACCATTCATTACTGCATAGTGCAATGCACGCGCATCGGGTTGTGTACCATGGTCACAAAATGACCATGAAGGCTTCGTGTGTCATATCCTTTGCGCCAATCCCGTGTTGTCTCACCCGTCACGAGACACGTGTGAGATGGCTGTCACGAGTAGGTGAATCACGGATGACGTCATTTATGTAACCCAAACGGATCAACCGCTTGATAATCGAAGCAGGGAGTTAATCATGCGTTGAAAAATTTCCTACTCTAGTACGCACAATTGGTCCACTACTTCTTTATGGCTTCTACTGCCGATATTTAGTTGACTTTCGACTAGAGCCAACATAAGCATAAGTTTTTTGGGCCCATTCACTACATTCTGTGTAGTGTAGGGTTTTAGATAAGTTTCAAATGCGAGCACAAGAAGCAGGTAACGTGTAGGGCAAGTTTAGCTGTGTGGTTTTCTGGGCCAGTTGGTACATTATGTGTAATTCAGGGCTGAAGCAAGTTATAAGCGCGAGTCCTACAATCTACTAAAAAAAGAAAAAAGAACATTCATGGCTTTCATCTTTGACTCATCATAGGCGAATGCGACGGGGATCATGTCAAGTTTTTTGTAACAAATTTAGCAGGCTTACGTCTTTTTTGGCACGTGCGCTGAACTTCTTCATGACGTATAGACGACCGACGACTTCCTTCATGGCGGATGCAACCAGCCTAACGCATGTCTTCCAGAGCGGAGGCTCCTTCATCAGTCCTTTGGAGACCTTGTTGAAGTTAAGCTTGGCTTCGCGGAAGCGTTTGGAAGCGTAGCTCGCTCGCGTCAGCACCGCTCGCCAACCCATGTAGTTGTACAAAACCCGCCTGCACGAAACGTGGAGAATTACGCCGATTACATTTCTAGCGAAACCACGAATTGTTGGTATTCGAGTTCTCACTGGGTGGCTCCGTTTACAGGAGGTCTTAGATGAGATTACTTCTTCACAAAATTTTCGCAGAGTGCTCATGTGGTGGAACTTGCGTGTGCGTGTAGGCCTACATTTCATAATATTCTGACGTTACGCCACATGGCACCTATATATTGAAGACAAAAGTATTGACTGAAACTCTCCGCTGAGTGAGGTATTTCCAAATTGTGTGCCAGCATACCTCGGTATGCTGACGCACAATGTAGTATTATATATGCGTTATTTATGAGACCTAGAAGGCTGTAGTGGCCTTCAGTCTTTCGCTGCCAACTGCATGACGTGATTACTTCGGAGGGCAGGACTGTAAAACCCTACTCTTTTGCTGCGTCCATTCTACGGTACAGTCGCTTCTTGAGGGAACCATCAAGTTCTTTTTTTTTTTTGCACAAACTTTGTGATTTACCTAACAACTTTATGTTCACCGTCATGGCCACGGGCGCACTGACTAACGCTCGCAGGTTCAAGTGTAAAAGTATATCCCATAAACTGAACGAATTTTGCAGGATTGGTCACTGCTACTGGCAAGTTGTATTTTTGTTGTCTATTTTTGTTACATCTGCAACGTAACTAATGCAAATAATGTCCACTGTTCTTTCCCTGGCTCTCTTATCGCTTGCTTATTAATCAGGTTAACACCGCAATACAGTAACGCGAAAACGTAGTGGCCTAAATTGTTTCTGCGCCAGATAGTTACTCGTTGAGGAAACTGCACTGCCCTTCTTCTATCTTATTTTATGGTTCCGTTGTCACGTCTTTAGGCACGCACAAAGAAGTGCGCTGTTTTTTTTTCTGCACGCCAAAGTGAAGAACGCTAACGTATCGATCATGTAATATAGCATGCTAAAAGAGTAACATAATGTCCAACATCGAAGGTCGCAGGTTTAGTCTTGGTCTGTGGCAAGTCATCTTTTCATCTATTTTTCTTTCTTTATATTTACATTACGATTAATTATAATAGCATCCTTTATATTTTCCTTGAAATGATTGTCTGGTATATATCATTATTATTCTGTCTAACAAATAAATCAAGCTCTTCATTGTAAAGTTCTTTCCAGCGGTATTCAGGCATCACACAATGCGAACTGCGTAACAATTTGGCCATTTAAATCTTCACCATTTCGATGGGCCCAGCTAAAATTCTTCCTTGGTGGCTAACTCGCTTCTCGTTGGAGTTATGAATATCGTCAATGTGGGCATGTTTCCTACATTGAGTTGTGTTGATCGATAGTGTAGTGAGTACCTTGTAACTGTGCTTATAGTAGTGGTTACCTCAATAGATTACATCATGGGTTCTAAAAAGCGTAGAGTTTTCTAATAATCACTAGAGGCAACTCTGGCGCTAGTGTCTATGGGAACTGCAACGCACTGCGCTTCAGCGAGCATGGGAATGATAGGTAGTACACAGATTTGTCTAAAATTCGTACTTCTGCCCTGCTTCTGGCTGCGTGTGTATTCGTGTGGCTTGGAGCTGTATTCTCACGAAACAAAAACCAACAAATGTACACCAATTGCGCTTCACTACCTTATTTCTTTAGGCTTATCATTTGTAATCGGGTCACAAAATTGAAAAGATTTTGTTCTTTTTTTTTCAAAACTAAACCGAAACTAGCAATAAAGGAGGCCGCAAGTGCGATTCTGCACCCGCAAGTACGAAGACTAGCAAATTAGTGTACTACTCATCATTCCCATGGTGGCTGAACGAACGCAGCGCCAGAGTCCCTTCTAGTTAATTTTAGGAGACTATGCTAGAAAAGCCACTCCTGCAGCTTTCAGTGTGGCTGTGCTGCCCGTGCCACGCGGGCTTGGCGGTTTTTTTTTTTTCAGATACGTCAAGTTCCTTCAACTAGTTATCAACTACCACAACTGAAAATATTTGCGGCTAGACTTACGGGCTTACTCTCTTCAAAAACTTTGTTGTGGAGGCAAAGTAGCGCTCGGCCATAATGGCTACTGGTTCGTCCTCAGTCAGCGTAATGTTCACCAACGAGAACTCCTTGTTCAGGGCGTCAAGAAGTGGCAGCTGAAAACCGAAACGCAACAGTTCACTTGATTGTTACCACGACACAACTTTGTTGTATATATGTTGCCTCCAAGACGGCGACCGCCAGTCACCATGGTGAGGCCCCATTGCTATAGTCATCGGACCAGCCGGACATTCTGCTGTGTTGTCAGTTACGTGTTTTTGTTACGGTATAACGTGACAATATATTGTCGCAGCGGTCTCTGAAACACACAGCGGATGCGCGCGTGCGCCTGCTGATAAACGTTTCTCCTTCCTTAATAAGAAAAAAGAAAGACCATGAGGTTGTATTGGTAGTGATCGCACAAGCCTGACGTCCTGTTCTACTGTCAGTCATAAGTTTCTGTTGTGGTATAACGTGGTAATGTATAAAGTGAATTTGAGCTAATTAACATTTCGCGGGACTGTAAAAAAATGCGTGCAGTAACCAATACAGAATCATTAAAGTAATACGAAGACAATAACTAAATGCCTCTTACGTCAACAGGCTTTCGTTTTCTTATTGATACGTAAATTCTCCACACAGTTCAAAAGGAGTACAAGAGCCGCAATTTTCGTCGTCCGGGACATTCTACCAATGTAATTACGCCTTAAGATCCTCTGCCTTCACTAACTCGCAACATGCTAACCCGATATCAAGGCAGGGCAGTATTGTTATACAAAGTTATCGCGATAGTATCTCAGAGAGACCTTTGAGCGTTTGCATTTCTGTGTTGGAATATATTTCAAAGATTTACTCATATCTCATTGTAACACTTTCACGGTGTATGAAAGACATTGCGATTATGGGCAGGACATGGGTGTCGGGCTACTTTTTTTGTTGCCGTTGAGCTGATGTGTTTCGAAAGGGGAGAGGAGGATTTTGTGGGCTACGCCAATCAAAGGCGTGCCGCTGGTCAGTGGCAGAGGAGAGTATGATTGAAGTAGATTTCTCTCAAGTCTGGTGGTGAACACTCTGTTTGCTTCAGATGGTATTTTGATAGTTATAACAAGAACGTGGACTCGACTACAGTGGTAGAGAGACCTATCTATTTCGCGAGTATTGTGTTGAAGCCCCACCGACGCTATGCAGCACAATGATTGTCTAGTGTGTCTGTGTCTGTGTCTGTGTCTGTGTCTGTGTCTGTCTGTCTGGCTGTCTGTCTGTCTGTCTGTCTGTCTGTGTATGTGTGTCTGTGTGTGTGTGCGTGTGTGTGTGTGTGAGTGTGTGTGTGTATGTTCGCTCTTTCCCTGCCATTTCTTTTTCTTTGGTTATGTGTTCACTTTGCCATCTTGCTTTTCCTTGAGAATTTTGATTGTGAACTTGAAGCACTTCGTTGCCAAGGCTTGCAACAGTTAATAGTTAACTTGAAGCTCAATCACCTTATCTCGTGGCGCAGGTGCACCCGGAAGGTCTGATACAATGAAGCAGACATATCTTATCATGGTTATAATAATTCGCATGAATATTAGAAAAAGAAACTAGACACGTTTCATCAAAATACACAATGCGCGTTATTCAAAGTTTCTAATGCTTGCCAACTTTCCTTTGAGTGAAGTAATATAAACTTTCCGACTGGAATATTCCAATCATGGATAACGCATTTGGTCAAACAGTGGTATCGATAGGCAGAGCTTTGCCAGGTGGCGTTTACTTCAATGATATTATTTTCTACAGAACAAAATAGTGTGTTTAGTTTAAGATCTGCCGACTCTGATAGCTTGTCATCCCTTGGAGTACGGATACGTTTTAATGTGGCTGCTATGTGTCGTTTATTTTTCAATGCACACGACGAAATAAAGGATTGGATCAATTTCAATATGTGAACTTTAACGTACTAAAACCAAGATATGACTAAGAGGGACGCCCCGGTGGAGTGCTTTGACAATTTCGGCAATGTTGAGTTGTCAACGTGCACTGATATTGCAGTACACGGGCTTCTACCACATCGTCTCCTTCGAAATGCAACCGCCGTGGCCGGGATCAAACACGTGACTTTCCGGACAACTGCCGAGCCCATAACCGCTACACCACAGAGACAGAGAAGGAGAATCATTTCGATAGAGAGCCGAAGATGTTTGTTGGCTTTTCACCTGGCATGCTACCCCAGGCACCGGGTGATAACTATGATATATGCTGTGATGAACACATAACACTTACTGTCACACACACAGACTGTGCTATTCACAGAGTTTCATTGATTCTTGTAGCCCGCAAGAATGTCAGCAGCGCTTTTGTGGCGTGTAACGAACTGGAGTTGCTTTGCCACGGGCCTATCTTGTGTGTCAACGCAAAGTTTGAGTCCCGTTGTAGTTTTAACACTGTCTTCAGGGACTGCCTTCAGCTTTCTCGGGACATTTTGAATAACGTAAATCTCACTCTCACCCAGAGACTGCCTCTCTTGTGCGTATGTTGCGCACACACAGAGGGCGTCACAGAGGACGTGATTGATGTTTATTAGGACGTTACATTGGATAATCAATGTTGACTCTGACAGTAAGATTTCGTTTCTGAAGTAATTGGTTTATGCAATGTTTAATCAGATGTGGTGTAGCATAATTCGTCCTGCCTGTTGAGGTCTCGCGACATACTGAAGTGACACGACGGATAGATCTTGTGTGGAGGTCCGTACCGGTGACTAATGTCTCTCCAGGAGAATCGCTGGAGGCACCAACAGTGTGTAGATATTAGTGTCGCAGCGTCTTGCCTCGAGAAATGTACCATGAGAAGCGTCGAAGCGTCAGTGTACAGCTTTGGCAGAGCCATTAGCTCGGATGTTACCTTGTATTTCGCAGTGGGAATGAAGCCACTGCAGAACAAAGCAGTCACGGATGTCGGATGCTTTGTTACGTAAGCTTTTGACGTACATGACAAGTTGGGCCTGCGTTATTTGAGGCTTCAGCGACTGCAGCACTGCTCTGCAGTGGGTAAACACCCACGACTCAGCTGTCTGGTACACACTGTAGTTGATGGCAAGCCCGTAAGTGCAGCCACTTCAGTGGCTGTAGATGAAGTGCAGTAACTGAAATGCTGACAGAGATGGCAGAGATGGTGGCATTGGCAGAAATGACGAGATGGAAGAGGCAGAGATGGTGACAAGGTCGCATGTAATCCACACACCAAAGACGTATGATGTACTCATAACAGAGCCGTCATTGTAAATGTGATGGTGAGCTCTGTAGTTGTGTACACAACAGAGGCAGACTAATTGACCTTATCACGCTTCAATTAGAGCCCGCAACTCACTGACTCGTATCTTCTTTATTTCTCCTGGCCTTGAACTACCCGCCACACACTCACGAGATTTATATAGACTAACACTCAACGACATATCCTCAGCTGCTAAAATGCTCCGCTAACTGGCACGATGATCTAGGGGTTCCGGTGCTTGATTGCTGATGTGAAGGTCGGAGGATTTAATCCGGCCACGCTATAACTGCATTTTGACGGCGGCAAAATGTTTGAGACCCATTCGCTCAGATTAGGTGCACGTTGAGGAAGACGAGATCGTCAAATTGTTGAGAGCCCTTCACTACAGTGTCCCTCATAAACATAGTAATCTTTTCAGAATAAAACCCCCCAAAATATTAAAACAATCTGGTAGTAATTCAGCCTGGTTTCAATGATTGCCGGTTCGATATTAATGTTATCACCTCATTGTCAAGAGCGAGGGCGAAAATTCCGGAAAGTAGAAATGCACAAAAAAAACAAATTCCTTACAAGCTACTGTTCCTCGTTGTGCAAGTATGCAAACCTTGCCAACCATTCCAGTGGACAATAACACAATTGTGCGATGCGTGCGTGGCCAAACGCTAATGTACTTATTCACGAATTCCATACAATTTTGGTCCCACCGAATATTATTTACCTAAAGGGGCCATGCAAGATTCTTTCACGTAGTCATGAAATATATTCCCTAAAAGAGCGTATTGCCTCAAATTCACCACAGCAAAAAAAAAAAAACTTCCGAGTCCGTCCAGTACGAACGGAGTTGCGAAAATTTGTCGCAGACTGCAACTGCATTCTTTCTTCTCTCGTCCCGATGATAACTAAGCATGGAGAGATGGCACGGGGAAAGAAAATACGTCACGCGCGCCTTGTGACATTCTGCACTTTTTTTTCCTCGAATACGTGGTTTTGCAGTGCGATTGCACGCGTGGACAAGTCGACGCCTCCCACGACGGCCACCGTCACGGCCCATCACGCCGCACGTGAATCAGCCAATGGCCAAAGCAATGGCTGTGACGCGAGATTTTTGGGCTAGTGGCGTCATTGTTCGAGAAAAGGGAAAACAATCTTTAGCTGATTTGATAACTTATTGAGAAGTCCGGGCTGCGTGCTGCGCTATAATATTTAGAATTAGTGTTCTTGAAAGCCTCGACTAGTAAGATTAGCAAAATTCTATGATCATGCCTATAAAGTGTTGCACGACCCTGTTATTATTTGTTTCACTGACGTACTCACTCCTTCAAACTTTCTCTGGAGGTCTCGCAGCGTTGTCCTCTTGTAGAGCCGAAGAGTGTTCCTTCTGTCCTCCTTAGACATGGTCCTCTGCCAAGCAGGGTAAAGCCGCATTGTTTACATCATTGAACGCCTCGAATACACTAAAATTTTCTTTGTTGTTGCAAACTGTCGACCCGGGCGCATACCCGACACGCGGAAACCGCAAACATAGTGCTGTAAGAAAAATCAAATACTGGGTGCCTCAATAACCTGTCTAAGAATAGGAAACGTTGCTTTCACTGTAACTCTAAGCAAAGAAAGTTATTTTCACTTCATTTACAAGCAGACGAGCGGCGGTGTGGTAGAACACCCACTTGTGACGCGAACGACTCGGATTCGATCCTAACTCGAACCCGGACATTTTTAATAAATAATTTTATTCGCATCTTTCTCGACTTCTCGATCACGCACAAGATAATTATTTTTCCCTCACAACCAACGGCACCAACGCCAACACAGGGACTTCTACGAAGCAAGCTCTTCAACGGTATCGCATTAATGTGCGACGTTATCTCGTAGCCCTTCTGAATTGCCTTTTTCACTTCCGGCAGGTGGCATCGTAAGATTGTTACAAATATGGCTTGAGACAGTAATTAAGATCGCTAACCTAATCAACTTCTGAATTAGTTGGTATAGGTGATTGCGTGAAATGATAGAGTAGTGTAGCTATTCGAATGATGAATGCACGGAAGCTTTGAGATTTCGAAAAAGCAGCCTCTAGTCATTACTGTTAAGTAATAAAATTCAACCAATTTCAATGACGAAACATAAACAGAAAGGCGAAAGAGTAATTTTATGAGAAGTCCAAAATAATTGAGTGACTTCTAGTGTAGCGGCACGCGTTATAATATGGTTAAATTTGGGGCAATAATTAGGAGAGTAAGTTAACTATATTTTTATTTAGTTCAGTTGCCCGGTTATTGAATATGGGATAATTGAAGTTTTTTATGCGAGAAATCAATATCATCCTTGAGATATGCAGAAAAATGACGCCATATCCACGAAGTGATTGACGATGAATGAGCTTGCTCCGGAGATCAAATCTAGTAAACCGCGAATCCTCGTTATACATCCACTAGACCATCATACAAAGACGTGCCCTATCAGAGGCCGCGAAGATTTTGGGTCGTTAAACCCCCACAATTCTTGTTGTTGTTTTTGTTTTTCTTGTTCGTCTCATTATTATTATTATTATTATTATTATTATTATTATTATTATTATTATTATTATTATTATTATTATTATTATGCCAGCAAAAAGCTCCTTAATAGGCTTCTATAAGCTATAGTAGAAATTGGTGAAAACCATAGATGATTGTTGAATTTTATTGAGCGACAATATTTGCTAGATGCCGCTCTTTCTTTATAATATTTCGGGGACGAATTTCTCGCATAAAAAGCTTCCAATCTTATTGGGCATGAAAACGCACGAAAACAACTTTTAGCGCATAATCTATTCCATGATGCAAAAGGGTGGATGCTACCCGTGAGCCAAAAAGTTCCTTATAACATTTTCATTTTCTTTTCTTTTTTGTGAAGCGCGCAGCGCGAGCTACCGACCAAAAGTAAAAGGTCGACCCTATATTTGTCGTTTCCTCAGCTATTATGGTCATTTTATGTGCTTTGCACTCTTCACTGCAAGAAACAGCCGCTGGCTACGGCGTTCCATCGTATAGCTGAGACCACGCACATGAAGCAACACACACGAATCAGCCATTGCAGTCAGCGCAAACCACGCCGCATATATAAAATGGGGGGGGGGGGCGCAGTTGGTACGTAGTACTAAAGTGAAGACCTACGCGCAAACCACGACGGATCCCAAAGAATAGATGAGACAACCGCGTATTCGTTCTAGTCCGTCCGGAGTTGTCACCTTCACTCGGCGCGTCTGCCGCGCTCATTCACACGTCTTTGCACAAGGCAGGGATGCACTCGCTCAATCCTTGGAGGTTAGGTTAGGTCCGGTTAGGTTAGGTTAGGTTAGGTTAGGTTAAATTAGGTTAAGTAAGGTTACCTCGCCTCTTCCCCTGGAGTCCCAATGCTCTCCACCTATGGCTCGTACACATTTACACCGATATCCGCTCCACGTACACTAAACCCAATCCTCTCACTGACATCGTTCGCGAATAGGGTGCGCATTCGGGCACTCTATTCCTCACATCCACAGTGTACTGTGTATGCGGAGCGCCATAGGTTCTTATCTCGCATGCACTTTATGCGAAACATCACGACAATGGCCACGTGGCAGCGGATTTTCGCTTGTGCTTCAAATTCATGGTAGAGAAGTAAATTACCGCGATTTGAAATCACGTGCGAGAGAAAATTATGTAGGTCCTAGTACACGTAGCACCCGCAGGGCCAATGCTCAAAATCATAAACTTGATAGGCGAGGTGCTACTGCAGTAAAATTGAATTCTGTACACCACAGGTTTCAGCAAATTTTCGCACGCTAGCAGTAGCTGATTATACTGCCTTTCTTACCTTGGCTATCTGACTTTCAAAGGAGAATATTTCTTCGGTAAGGACGCTGACAATAGCAGGCTTCAGGTTAGGCTTGATGACACTCAGAGCAGTTCGGATCAAAGCCTTGTAGGCTTGCACGCTTCTTTTGTTTTTCTTTTCTTTCGGTTTTATGAGCTCGTTTCGTCCAATTAGGGAGAAGCTGAATTGGTCGAACTGGAAACAAAAAGACCCTGTTAAAAACCATAAAAACGGCAGTTATTGGGACCTCTCTGCATCCTGCAGTCACAATCAGCTCTGTGGTATTTTTCCTACATTTTCTAAGCAGTGAACAGTACCTAGTTGTGACTTTCCACCGGATCAAAAGAAGGAACACAAAGCAGACTGCGATGATCTCACGACACGTAAAGGTGGTTTCTCCGCGTGAGGAAGGTACCAAATGCGACCACAGGATAAAATCTGCGCAAGCTGTGTTTCGAAAATGTTGTTAACAAATTAAATACTTGGTACTCTGCTATGGGAGAGCATAACGCCGGCCCGTGGCCCCACATTTGAATAGGCCCTGTATTAGCCCAAAAACAACTGCCTTCGGTTCAAACTCTACGCGAATTATGAACTTAATCGACTTGAATTGACTGCCTCCGCTCAAGAAGCGGGAAATAAAAACCCCATGTGGTTCATTTGGTCTTCTTCTACCACGTTCATACTTCCGGCTAGCGTGCTTTTGCCTGCGGGCAGAACAAACAATGCGCGAAGGAATGTTATCAAATTGGACCTCATACGGAAAATGACGGCGATGGTTATCCCGACGGCAAAACCCATCGTATATACCTGTTATCACATTAAAGCTGAGCACTCGCAACCATTTCGTTTCAAAAAGGTTATGTCACGTTCCCGACCCGCCAAGTCTTCCCGAGGGAAAAATATTGGACGCGTAGTCATGAAGCACTCGGAATGGGTGACGTTTTCACTAATCTGTTGCAAAATGCATCACCTATTTATAGAATTTACGCTAACATCGTGTCACTTAATGACTGTTCATAAAACATTTTCATGTCGTGTGGTTTTGCCCTTTTGTTTAAAGAGTCCTAACAAACTCTGAATATGCAAAGAACGAGCGCATTTCTCTTAAAACAACTTCTTATATTTACAACACGACTCACAACACCAACAGTTTGTCGACGTGACACGGCAAAGAAAGAAGCTCACGATATGTCCACATACGAGAGATTTCCGTTGTGCGGCATTTTCTATCTTGCTCCGCTACGCCATCGCACACCCGTTCCGTTTTGTCAAGAATGGCTATCATTCATGGGCAACTCAATTTGCTTCGTTTTGTGCTCTTTTTTTCCACTGCGCAAGCGTAGATAACAGTGCAGAACCGGGAAGCAAGATATTCTGACAGGCCCAACCATTAAAAGGACACTAAAGTCAAATAACAATTTACGTCATAGTAAAATCTCAATATATGACTACAAATAAAACGACAGTTATATCAATAACAGTACCATTTTACCTAGAAAATAAGGTACATGCACAAGAACACAAACGCCGCTGTAGGACATTTTCAAAATGATCCCGATGACATCAGACGGACTGCCTACAATTAATCACTAGGGATCGTTCTAACTGCACTAAATAAAGAACCTTCCATGCATCAAGAGACACAATGAAGTGCTGCTTGTTCGTTTCTGTTTGATTTATGAAAAAAAGAACCACCGGACTTGAATGGCGTGAGTGATTAAAAATTTCAATTTTAGCGTGGTTACGTGGGACAGGTGGTGCTATCTAGTGGAGCGCAGCTGAAACAAAAGCGTCTGCAATCTTCAAGCCAATGGCGAGAAATTGGTCAATGGCCGTTGTTGCTCCCGTGCCCCCCAGTGCTTTCGGTCTGCTGCTACTAGCCTTGTAAAGCCGGGCAACATTGGGCACGGCAACAGTTACGTGAGACGGTCGGTTGGTCTGCTTCTTGAGGCGGGTAATTTCAAGTGCGCTAACGCGATACGGAGCACTGAAATATGATTTTATTTTAATACAGGCCCTTCCTGGTCCCGAAAGTAACACTACGAGGTTCCTGGACTGCCATTTTGACAATCAACATCGACTTAATAGTTGGCTTCGCTGTCCATTTAATGTTGGAACTGTCTACGTGTTTTAGGTGCTGACACGCTTAGTGCTCACACTGTCCTAGCGGAGCAGCCGATCACCGAATCGATGGGCTGCTCGGCTTCGTCATTTAGGCGACCCATCTGCCTCCTTCCTGAATTGTATCCCTCTATAAAAGGCGCTGCGGGAACAGTACTGTTCCATATATGTTGCGTGCCTTCCATTTTTTGTCAAACATTGTGCCCATCTGCTCGTGCTGTCGTTGTTCCTGCTACCCAACTCAATAAAATATTATGACGAAATTTCGCTTCGTTTGCTGCTTTAATGGTGTACATCTATGCTATCTATCAAAAAAACTATCCCAGATTTCTTCACGCAGCACGCTGTAGAATCTTCTAAATACGTTTAGCAAGCAGAAGGAACCCCCACAAAGAACTCCAAAATTTCCAGATGACGCGTTATGTCCCGCATTGATGATAACACTATGGCAAAATGTAAAAATCAACCGGGCTTTCGGAAATTATCGGTTAATGCTTGAAGTGCGACAAATTCGACGTGATGCAAAAAATATTTTACAACGTGGCCCCCCGCCCTGGTTTATAGTGGTTATGGTGTCAGACTGCTGACCAGAAAACTGCGGGAGTGAATCATGGCCCTGGCAGGCGCACCTCCATGCAGGTAAAAATCCACAGGCCTGTATGCTTTGATTCAGGTTCATCTTCAGGAACCTTATGTAATGGAAATTTCAGGGTTCCTCCACTACGCCACCTCTCATGATCGTACTGTAGTTTTTTAGGCGTCAAACCACGTGCTGTGAAGTATTATGGCTATATTGTGGCTGTAGGTGCCAGAGGTAGGAGCCGGTGGCCGCCTTCCAGCTTCGGCGGTACCAGCGAGTCAACGTCTACATGGTCATCGTGATACCCTGGGCTCTTGAGACCCGAGAACGATCGTGTCCTTTACTGACTGCTCGCAGCTGTACCTCCAGCTGTTTAAGAAGCTCTGCATGAGTGACCTCATCGCCGCGTCTCGATTGATCTACCACATCTGCGTCGGCGCCAGCCGTCCTACCGGGGTGTGATCGGTGCTCCTGTCCTGCTGCCCTGACTGCCTACTAATGTCCCTCTTTACTGCCTGCTGTTTGTCTGACGCTGTCTCCTGACGTCCCGGTGCCCTGCCTAGTGCCTTCGCCTAAAGTTCATCTTCAATAGCGTACTCTCATCGGCAAATGCTCTTGCCCCTTTTCGCGTTGCCTTGAGTACTCAGTTAAATATCTGTTTTGGGGGATCAAACTGTTTCCGAACGTCACCGAAATCTTTATAAAGCGAGCTTACCTCAATGATGTTGCGTGAAAGTTCCTTCATATCTCTTGTCACGTACACTGAGAAGAGCGGGGCCATGCCAGTTTCGATCAGCACCGCTCTGTAGTCGCCAAATCGCTGCTTCTTTTTACCAACAAGGGGCCACTCCCCGAAACCATTTTCTGCCAATATTGCTTTGAGTTCCTTCAGACTTCGCTTGTGAGGGTTTTCTGTTACGCGAGAGAATAGTGCACCATCATATCTACATATCATTTGCGCACAGCATTCGTTATAATACACACTGCATTAACAAGCTAGCTTGCTTATTTATCACGCTTTGTGACATGGGCGTCTTAATGAGGACACGCACACATACAAAAACTGACCTTTCGTCTATATTTGTTCCCGCACGCCTTCCTGAAAAGTCGACGAATTGTCGCAAGGACTTCCGCAGCACCGACTGCTCATACCTCTGCACCGACTACTAAATAACTACCCTGGGGACGTCCGTAAGGCTGTTCATCCTTTCAATGCACGTATATAACCTAATGCACGAAACGTGAGATCACATGGATAAGCAAACATTCGTAAGACCCTGTCATCATTTTGTCGTCCTGTAGACGTGCGAATGTGAATTTTCGGACAGAACATGTGAACAGAGGCAGACACACGTCCACAAAGACATATCCAAAATAGAATCTCAATGCGTCCACGGGAACTAGTACGCAATATACAGTTCGTACAACCGTGAGGTCTACCAAGTGATGGACGTTCACTTGTTACATTGTGGACGGAACATACAGACACATACATGAACGAACGTCCCTAAACTTCTGCCTACAATCAATTTTGTGGACCAACAGATACAGCCTTGTGGACAGCATGTATGAGTGTAAGCCGGGGCAAACGTTCGCAAGGACGGCCACAGGATAAACTGTCCATACATTCATAGGGGTTCGTAGTAACTCCATCATGGCGACGTACAAACGTGACTCTGGCCCGGACGTGTACCCACAAAAACTGATAAATGTTCACGCGGGCGTACCCTGGACGAGCCGGTGACGCAATCTAGGGGGTGCGTTGCAATCCGCTATATAAGCCTTGGGGATCGTTCAAAACTAGCGCTGAACACCTTCAAGGTAGAAGAGTATACGATAGTCAGTATGGTGATCTTCGACAGGCAACAACACCGTGGATACCGGCATAAAGTTTAGGCAGACTTTTTGTCACTAGAACAGTTTAGGTTTCAACGTACACATTTGTTGTGTGGCGTGCACCACATCTGAAAAACAGTACATGAATTTCGAACATTTCATACTTATCAGTGGATTTACTTACCGATGCGACAAAGGGCCACCTCGGGCTACATTATTTTTTAAGCAATTTACTTAGTTCGGAACTTTCCCCATTTCGTTCGGTACATTATTGCATGCGCACAACTCCTTTGTCCTATTTGAAGGACCGACTATGAGTACTGGGTCCTGCCCAATTTCTGTGACACATACGCACTAATGGGTTTTTATGCACCTAAAACGGACGGAGTTCTGTTTTTCCTAGCAACACACAGTATCATTTTAATAATATTACCAATATTGAGCATTGCACTTTGACATTGAAGTCCGAATGCCATACCAACTAATGACTTTTTGGGATTTTAGTAAAAAATAGAATGTGGAATAGCCAGAAGTAACCCCACATTAGAAGTGTTCGAGTATAACAGCTTCCTATCTTACGCTCCTGTAACGCACGTCGAAAAGTATTAAGGGCAAACGATCAGAATCTCGAAGATATACTGGACATGACATTGCATTACCGTTACGTACCATTGGCAACGCAAGTGCTGTACGCGATGCCAAGTTTTTCGGTGACGGTCTGCGTGCAGCCTTCGCGAACAGGTATCTCGCCGAGTATCTCTGAAAGACCATCCACATGCACAGAATTACGGCTCTCATACTGCGAATGGCCAAAGAATGTGTCACGAATGGATAGGTGTAAATTACGTCAATGAAAAAAAAGGTAGACGAAAAGGTGATCAAACAAATAAAGTGACAGCAAATGAAATCATGCAATTCATACGAAAACTTGAACAGTTCATTCATTCAGCGAGCACTGTTATCTTTGTCCTTCGGTGTAGGTTGTGGTCTGCATTTCCAGTTTCTTCGCATATGTGCGCAGTAGAATTAGAACAAACCTTAGTTGCGAGCTAGAGCTTCCATTGCAAGATAAAATTCTTCCACTCGTATTTTGCGAGTCTCTACCTGCCACATTTAGGACTTTTTAAAGGGATGTATGAACTGCGTACAAGTGATGCTCTCCTTTTTTTCTACAGTGTACAATGCGGCGTGTTCATCATCCTGTCCGAGCTTGCGCAATTTATAGCTCTCAAACTACTTTAGCAACACGTCCTACTAAAGTTACTATGGATACGTATGATCTACGCTGGCATGACTACTGACCAGCAGCTCAAGCAACAGCTCAAATCACGGGCTTCACACACGATCAGCGTCCATGAGCACTGCATGGTAAAAACAGATCCACTATAGATAGGGCTGGATAGTATGCCCCTGCATACAATTACTATTCACAACAATATCAACTTCGCCCTTAAGGCAAAGGCGCATTCACATAACCAATTTATACAAGTCACTCAACCTAGATGGTGGCTCATTAATAATTTGGCCTGAAAGCAATTTTTAGGTGAGCTCGCTAGTTCACCGTATGTTTCGCTTCACGGATGCAGTTGTGAAGCTGCCGAACCAATGAAAAATACAAGAACGCGTCGCAATAAGCTGAGCTTTACACAAAATATTACACTAGCAATGAAAGGCGCGGTGACGAAGGGCAGGCCCCAGTGGTCGGAAGTCATTCTCGAATGCCCTCTATAGTGCACTGTTTATTCTGGCCATCGTTGATTAGCTGCTGCTAGAGAAGCGCGCCCCTGTATCCGGTTCTCCCGCAAACTTGCTGTGACGTGTTGTCACTTACGCCACGACAATCGACGCAAATATGAGGGACGTAATAAACTCCAATGCGGCGAGTGCAACTCCCAGGGCTCCGCTCTTGGGCGGGCAAGTCTTGGATGCCGTGCCTTAACTTTGATTCTGTGGTCACGTTCACCATCAAGTTATGGTTGAAGCCACCCCCCTCCTTTTCCAATTAACCAACCTGCAAGATTGCATCATGGGTTGCCGCATATCGCAGCAAGTTATCTCGATCAGATGGCGTCACCAAAGTGAACATGTTTACAAGATGGGGAGTTTCAGAACAGCTTTCCGGGTTTGAACATTGGTCGTCCCCAGAAAGCCCTTCCTACCAATCACGGAATTCTCCGTACATGCTGCCTAACATAATTCTTACCTCTCAAGTCCTTGAAGAGCTTTTCTTCCACTTGTTTGAATGCCCCATACGTAACTCTGTCACTCGGAATTTTGTTCGTCTTCTCCCACCTACTGCAGACGTACTTGTAAAAGTCGTCACATGGTCTCACCGTTTTGCTCAAGGCCTTTTTTATTTCGTTAGCTGGAAATAATTAGCAGAGTTAGTAAAGCAAGTAATGTATAGGCTTGTTTCCATAACCTAAAGAGCACAATGGCATAATTTCCGGTTGTTGTCATATGCTATAGTGCCCCGTGACCTCTGCAGAAGCACCAAGCATGGCGTCGTACCACCAATGTAAAACCTGAAAGAAAGGTGAATGTTTGTGCACTTTGCATAAGTAACGTTACTTTGCTACAGTTAGCAGTTAATCAGTGTCCGTGAATGAAGCATAAATATACGCCAAACAGCTTCACGGTTGAACTATCATGGCAGCATAACCTCTACAACCAGAACTTTAGCCAACAGCGACCTGCCACTCTGCCATAAACAAAATACGGTATTTACTCACATAAATCGCGCCATCGCATAATTTGCGCACCCCTATTATTCTGTCAGCGTTATGAGAAACAAAATATTTACTCGCACATTTTGCACCCCCCCCTACCCGGCTGAGCCAGCTCGCCAGTGCGCACACGAAAAGAATGCGGACCTCCGGATTCTCTAGACGAGCACGCCAGACGGGCGGCTGGCCGATCAGGCGAGCGCAGTCAGACGGGCTACGAGTGCGAAGTCACTTCTTCTGAAGACTTCCGCTGAACTACGCTCTCCATAATACCGTACACGAACACTCAAACCTGTTGACAGGGCGTCCGAACTTTTCAGTGTTTCTCTACCTCTATCTCTCCATCTCTACCACCGCGTGAATGCACACTCACGTCTCGGCACGGACAACTTTCGGCACCGGAGGCATGCGAAGGCCTGTCATGCCTGTCGTGCCAACTGTTTCCCCAGCTTTCTGTGTCCGCGCTGCAACGCATTGATTGATTGATTTGTGGTGTTTAACGTCCCAAAACCACCATATGATTATGAGAGACGCCGTAGTGGAGGGCTCCGGAAATTTCGACCACCTGGGGTTCTTTAACGTGCGCCCAAATCTGAGCACACGGGCCTACAACATTTCCGCCTCCATCGGAAATGCAGCCGCCGCAGCCGGGAATCGAACCCGCGACCTGCGGGTCAGCAGCCGAGTACCTTAGCCACTAGACCACCGCGGCGGGGCCGCTGCAACGCATGTTTGGTTGATTTCGGAAAGTTTAGGTTTCGCCATCTGTCCTTCGCGTTTTGACTGTTCTCTTGCGATCGGCTACCGTAATTACATATGAGGCAAAATTCAAGCTCGCTGTTCTGATGTTTCCCGAAAAAAAAAGGAAAATCATGCCACCACCAAGCACTTCAATGTGAAGATTTCCAACGTGTGACAATCGGTGCTATTGGTCCGAAAGAGAATGCGCGCTTGCTTAAACAAGTTTCCTGCCATTAAAGAAGGACTTTTCAATTATGTGCGAATGTGCAATTATGTGCGAACGCCGTGTTAGGGGACCTAGTTTCTTTCAGCATTGTCGAGAGGAGCTTCAAACAAAAGGGCACTCGAACGCGCTGGACAAAACCGAGGGCGATACGCTTTGGTAGGGTGGTGGCAGCGGCCGCGACGATAATTCTCGATGAATCGGACCTCTGGATCAGCGATTCCAACTGGACGTATCACGCGTGACCGGGTCTGACTGGTTAAAGTACGTGCTAATGCTGTTAAATAAACAAGTACACTTGATTGGCGCTCCAATTTATTTTATTTTCTTTGTTGTGTATCCTTCGCGCGTTAAGACTACTGCACATTATTTTGTATGCGTTCACTAAATCTTCGCGTAATTCGCGCACCACCCTCTCGGAGCCCCAGAATCGCAAAAACAAGCACAAATTGTGTGAGTAAATACGTACGTGGCGTCACTGCACGTGCCACTTTACTCTCCCACCTTTAAGCGGAAGTCTGCTATCGCACGCTTAGAAATATGAAAACACGCAACTTACAAGAAATGAAAATGAAATGAAAGAGTTACAAAGCAAGCTTCTGTCCCTTAAAAAGAATGTAAGCACCATATTCCACTGTTTCATCGGAAGCTAGTACCACCTATGCACTTTTAGCCAGATTCCGGATACCAAGCTAGCTATAGCCACAATAATAATGAGAACTGGCAGAAAATAACCCAAAGAAAGTCGAGGGCGTGTTATTAGAAGTAATTGCGAACAAAGACAAGTGAACGAAAAGGTAACTTGCCGTGGGAAGGGACAGAACCTGCGACGTTCCAATAATGCGTCAGATGTTTTGCCAACTGAGAGACTACGGCGGCAATCGCCTAATCCACTTTTATTGGGTATGAACGCGAATTTAAACTTGGGAGCATCAGTAAGTCCCACCTGCTTCCATTGAGTTGACAGTAAGACTCTCATTGTTTGTCTGTTGGGGTCACATAGCACGTGGTCTTATTGCGAGCTGGCAGCTGACCACAAAGGGTCGCTGTATTCCGCACTTTTCTTCATTACCTGACTGTTAGTAATATATGGTCCATTGTGGAGTAGCCTGTATGAAATCCTGCTTGATCCTTGGTTGATTGAACTGAAGTATCAACCAGGATTCCGTTGAGGCTACTCCACAATAGACCAAATTGTTACTATGAATCAAGTATTACAGAAATACGCGGAATACAACCAACCCTAATGCATAGCCTTCATAGAATATGAGAAGAACTTTGACTCAGTCGAGACATCAGCAGTAATTCAGGCACTGCAGAATCAGGGCATCAACAAACCCTACATAAACATACTAGAATAAATCTACAGTGGATTCAAAGCCACAATAGTTCTCCATGAAGAAAGCAACAGAATCCCAACAAAGAAGGGTGTGAGGCAGCATATCTTCCACTAAATGTCTCAGATCTGAACATTTCTTTATGAATATTAAAAATGCCAAATCACATTTATGTAGCACGCAACTTTTACAGCCACAGCATGAACGTCTTCTCCACACTGGATAAAATGTACAGAAGCATTTTTGTTTTTTTTGTTTAGTTTTGTTGAAAAAAGATAAAGTAGGCATTTCCCAACCGACCATTTACACTATAGTTTTGAAGCGTGACCAAATATTTTCTGTCGCACACCACTGTGCATAGTCGTAACACCCACCCTCCTTGACAGTCCAGTCACATCCACTGGTGGCGCCTTATCTTTTCCTACCTAGCCTCTATCTCCTGAATGGATCGCGATAATTCATGCAACGCAAGAACTATCCCTTCTTCCAGCGTCTCCTCACCGGATTGGGGCCATGGCAGACATCCTGGCTAACTCTCTTGACAACTGACTCTACTAGAATCGCCATAACGACTTTGGCGACGCTCTTTATTTCCTCTCCCCTGCCTTGGTTACTGTATAACGTGGCTGCCAAGTGGGGCGGGGATAACCGGTGATTGATTTTCTCGTGAGCTTGCCCGTAAAATTAAGAGCCGGAAGCCATGGCCATGCCCTGATCTTAGGTTACGGGGCAAACTTTTACTGGAAAGCACTGATTCTGCACTGCAGACACCCGCAACGTTTGTAGCAGCCTCTACTGCCCCCACAACTTTGACTCTCCACTGCTCAAACAAACTCTGAGAACCATTCAGCTCAACATTCTGGTCCCTTCAGGGCACCATTTTCTTTATCGCTATTGCTTTAATCATTGGCCATGTGCATGCCGGAACGGAAAACCCGTTCTTTTTTTTCTTCTGCCATGCAGTCCTGCAGTCTCTACATCACCCAAAGCAAAGCCCCCCCCCCCCCCCCCCACGCGCATACTATCTAGCGGAAAAGATTGGTGTCGGCGGCCTTCGAGAAATAATTATGTCCTAGCTTGACAGAAAAGAAGGTCATTCCTCTCTATCTGTTTCTCTCTCTCTCTCTCTCTGTCTTTGTCATTATGTATCGCAGCGTTCTCACCTTTCTTTATGCATACTTCAGTCTCGCAGACGTCATAGTCTTCGGTGTTCGCTGAAAAACAAAAAGCATCGATAAGCACCAAGACGCCCAGTGCATTTGTTCGCAGTATACTTACGCCATACACCTAGCCTTCAGTGTGCGAGTTGTTTGCTTCGGTAAGTAATAAACCAACTCTAACATACTATACCGTGGTGGTGTTGGGGTCACTGATCTGGACCCTCGCAATGCGATCACCTAAAACCATAGGTTAACTAATTGACTCAATCACATTTATGTCGTTGCTAAATAGAACATGATGCCAAGGGAAAATGAAGTCTCTTAATGTGATGATAGAGGAAACTTGGCCACTTCGCGAAGTTTCCTAAGTGAAATGGCTAAAAAGAGAGGGAGCTGAAGCAATAAACGTTATGCGGAAAGATGGGCAGGCTAACCGGATGATAAATATTGCCGTGGATGAGCTTATCTTCTTGCTACAGCCACAATTAATCAAGACGGTGTCCTTGGCGTCTCCGCATAGCAGGCAGTGACACACCCTACATTTCACATCGTATTGCTGACGCGGGACTCACCTAACATGCATAGGGGTATCAGCCGGGGGGGGAGGGGGCAAGGGGGCGCGAAGCTTCCCCACTGAGAAAAGTTGGGGTGCTGAAGCCCCCCCCCCCCCCCAACTTTCGACAGTGATCTTTCTGGGCTGCACGCTGGGGAAACCAACAAGGCATAGTTTTTCATCCCAACAGTAATCACTTAATTACGTCCTTACGGGATATTGATATTGTTACCAGGCTATGTTACAACACAGCAGATCCTCACTTGATATATATATATATATATATATATATATATATATATATATATATATATATATATATATATATATATATATATATATATATATATATATATATATATATATATATAAGATGCAACAGTCATTATAGCCAATGAATGTATATGGGAAGTTACTACAACCAAAGTAATGTAAATAAGAAGAAAGAAAAGTGGGTGAAAAATAACTTGCCGTGAGCAGGAACGCGTTATTAGAAGGTCGTAGGTTCGTTTCCTGCTCACGGCAAGTTATTTTTTTCACCCACTTTTCTTTCTTCTTATTTACATTACATTGGTTCTAATAACCTCCCCTATACATTCCTAGGCATTATTGTCTGTTAGATCGCCTTGTTATTGTGTCAAAACAAGAAAAACGAGCCCTTGGGTATACACTTCTTTCCCTTATATAGCAGTCACAACGTCGTTTATTTCGACGTTCCGGCCTAGAGTCTGGCCTTCATCAGGATCCTGATGAAGGCCAAACTCTAGGCCGGAACGTCAAAATAAACCACGTTGATATATATATATATATATATATATATATATATATATATATATATATATATATATATTTATATATATATATATCTTGAAATACCACGGGTTCAGCTGACGCTTTATTCAAGCAACAGCGAAATGGCGCCGATGATGAAGAGGAACGGGCGAAGACTGATGATGGTTATTGACAGATGAGGATGACGTCCAATGAATTCTTACACTAAGTTCCCCCGTCGACGGAAGCGGCCAGCCTGGCCGCGAATTACGCTGGGGAACGCATACGATAGGGCTTGAGACGCGCAACGTGAACAATCTCTGTCCCGCGGCAGCGTTGGTCAGTGGGGACATGAACAGGTGTGACAAGGTAGTTCACCGGTGAAGTCTGTTCGATAACTTTGTAGGGGCCAAGATAGCGTGACTCAAGCTTCTCGCATAAAACCAGGCGTTCGCGCAGGAGTCAACAGAAGTACATCGTCGCCAGGGCGGTAGAGAACGACACGGTGAGTGGCATCGTAACAATGTTTGCGATCTTCTTGACTAGCTTCGGTGTTTACACGGGCAAGACGACGGCATCGAGCAACACGGGACAGAAACTGGTCGCAAACGAATGGTGAAGTGTTGACGGGGCCAGAAAAGAATGAAACGTCGAGTGGTGATGTCGGTTGGCGTCCGTATACTAGGAAGAATGGAGAATAGCCTGTGGTTCGTTGAACTGACGTATTATATGCATACGTGACAAAGGGAAGTATGGCATTCCAATTGCGATGGTCCGGTCGGATATACATGGACAGCATGTCACACAGCGTGCAATGAAATCTTTCCGTTAAGCCATTGGTTTGCGGGTGATAGCTATATGTTGTTTTATGAACTCTTTTTGATGCTTGAAGAACTTCACTGAGCGTGCTTGAAAAAAATGCCTTGCTCCGGTCGCTCAAAAGAACACGAGGGGCTCCGTGACGTAGGCAAATAGAATGCAAGAAGAAAGTTGCTACTTCCGAAGCAGTTCCTGAAGTGATCGAAGCCGAGGCCGTCTCAGCGTACCGGGTCAAGTGATCAACCGCGGTGACGATCCATCTCTTGCCGTCTGATGTATTTGGGAGGGGCCCGAAGAGGTCAATTCCGACGACAGAGAACGGCTCTGATGGACAAGGAAGTGGTTGTAGGGTCCCGACTGGAGCAGTAGTGGGCCGCTTGCGGTGTTGGCAAAGTGCGCACGAGGCAATATATTTAGCTACCGTCGTGGAAAGACCTGACCAGAAGAATCGACTGCGGATGCGCTCGTATGTTTTGTAGTAACCCAAGTGTCCTGACGTCGGGTCGTCGTGGGAAGCGCGCAGAACTTCTGTGCGTAGTGCGCGTGGTACGACGGGAACCCATCGGTGGCCTTCCGGGTGGAAAATGTATCGATGTAGCACATCGTCCTCCAAACTGAATAGTCGAAGTTGTTTCCGGAGTCTGGCATTTGGAGAAGATGAAGCGCCGGTAAGCTGACCGATGATGTCAGTGCAATAAGAATCGGCTCGCTGGTGAGTGGTAAGTACTGACGGACGGGTGGATGAAGGTAGAGAAGAAATCGATGATATCGACGAGGCGTCCTCCGTATAGCCGATTTGACAAGGGGATGTGACGTGCGCCGAAGACTGCGGCAAAGGGCATCGTGACAAAGCGTCGGCATCTTGGTGTTGTCTTCCAGTCTTGTAGATGACGTCGAATTCATACGATTGTAACCGGAGAATCCAGCGGACAAGTCGTCCCGACAAGTTTTTGATTGTGCGCAACCAGCAAAGAGCATGGGTGGTCTGTCACAACAGTAAAATGTCGACCATGTAGATACGGAGGAAATTTTTGGATGGACCAGACAACAGCCAAGCACTCTTGTTTGGTTATCGAGTACCTCTTCTCTGCAGAGGTCAGAGTGCGGCTTGCATACGCGACAACTTTCTCACGAAAGGCATGGTCGCGCTGGAGGAGTGCGGCGCTGATTCCTTGTCCACTAGCGTCAGTGTGTGATATCGTAGGTGCCTTGTCATCAAAATAACAAACCACCGGTGGGGATGTGAGTGCCTGCTTGAGCTCTTGAAACGAGGTTTCGCATTGATCATTCCAATCGAAGGAACGGGTACTAGCAAGGAGCTTGTAAAGAGGAGCGGCAATAGTGGCAAAGTTGCGAATGAAGCGGCGAAAGTACGATGCGAGTCCAAGGAAACTGCGTAGTTCTTTGGAACGAAAGGGTCGCGGAAAGTTGAGGACTGCGGATTCTTACAATATATATATATATATATATATATATATATATATATATATATATATATAAATCCCGGCTTACGGGTGAGGTAGGTTTGCCTCCCCACTCGTGAAAGAGTCGGTACGCCACTGCTAACATCAGTTGAGTTTACGTTAGGGCTAAAAGCACGCGTGACAGACGACTTCCAGGGGAGCGTGGAAAAGCGGAACAAGCCGACACCGCGCATGTCCGTTGCCAAGACGATGTATACGTGTTAGGAGCCCCAGCTTCATTGATTGATTTGTGGAGTTTAACGTCCCAAAACCACCATTTGATTATGAGAGACGCCGTAGTGGAGGGCTCCGGAAATTTTGACCACCTGGGGTTCTTTAACGTGCACCCAAATCTGAGTACACGGGCCTACAACACTTACGCCTCCATCGGAAATGCAGCCGCCGCAGCCGGGAATCGAACCCGCGACCTGCGGGTCAGCAGCCGAGTACCTTAGCCACTAGACCACCACGGCGGGGCGAGCCCCAGCTTCAGGAGTAAGCGTGTGCTCGAGAATGTCTTGTGGGCTTGTACCAGCAGGAGTTGATCTATCGTTCTAGTGTCCAGTTTGCTACCCGCCACTAAGGAGGGGATATTGGGAGGCCATATTCAGCGTAATCTGATATCCTCACCTGAAGCTTCAAAAAAATACTCCTTATATTCTTTTATTCGTCCGTCCAATTTCAGAATATGCGTGTTGTGCGTGGGGTCTACACCAAAATTCTTTGGTTGATCTAATTGAGAGAATATAAAACCGAGTGGAAAGGTTCGTTCTAAGGTGGCATAATCTGGATGACAGCTGCACTGAAATTGAAAATGAGCTGAAATGGAAAGCTCTGCCTCCTCGCAGGAAAAAATTTCGCTTTCATATGTTTTTTCGATTATAACATAAGGAGACTCCCATTAAGAAAGACGAGTACCTCAGGCCACCCCATCACATGTCCAAAAGATGTGATCATCACTTTAAAATTCAAGAATATCGGACCACAACAAACCTTCATGCTAATTCTTTTTTGTTCACACTGTAGTAGAGTGGAGGAATTCGTCTCATTACCGAGTGTGCTGTAATAACGAAGATTTATATTATTTTCAGGCTGTAATCACCTGCGCACACGTCTTTCGGAAAAGCAAGGTATGGCTGAATTAAAAAAAAAGACACTGAGGGAGGGTCGGAGGCAGGAAACAAAAATAGTTTCAAAAGGTTGTAAGTTCGGTCCCAAACTGCACGATGTCTATTCGTCCACTTCAATTTTTTAGACTTTCTTACTAAATATTTACTGCAGTATTTTTTAAAATTACAAATAATGTCCAGAGAACCTTCCTTCGCTCATTGTTTGTTAGTTTCATTAAGCTGTGTCTTACAAAAAGTGCAAGTACCTGATTCATGCCCTTCTTTCGTAAGTGCTGAGTAGAAAGGAAATCATTACACCGCTTTAGTAGTGGGGGCATGGAGCTGTGAGCCACCTGCTTAAAATGAAAATCTTACTTTGTGATTGCCAATCTTGACAGGAGTGGTCGAGGATGGCCACTTGCGTGAAGGTGAAGAAAATGAGGCAACTGCGCAAGATTCGCGTCATCTTGATGAGGCCACCAGCCTATACTCGGACTGCCTGGAAGTCTTCGTCCTCATAAGGCCTGCTGAAGAGCAAGCGCATTTTATTAGTTGCATGGCTTAGGCGAACCTTTACCGTTGAACGTACACAATGCGCGTAATACCTCTGCAGGAGAAACGCCACCGTTAACTGTATGCACTGCATGAAGTCCTTGGACGGATTAGCGATGGCGCTGTGTTAAACCTACCCACGTCGTTAAATTATTCGATGCGGCAAGGCGAGCCTATTCCGTTAAATGTATGCAGTGCACACAATAACGTAAAGTGTAGGGTGAAGCTACAAATCCTACATTACTAATTAGAAATAACAGACAAGAAAGTAAAGGAAAGTATCGGGGTTTTTATGCATGCTAATTAGGATGTATATGCGAAGAAAGTAAACTGGACGAAAAAGTAACTTGTTACTGGCAGGGGTCGCACCTGCAACCCAAGAGTAACGCGTCATATTATCGATCAACTGAGGTACAGCGGCCGTCATCCCTCCGTCCACTTTGTGAGGTATATAAGTGCATTCAAATTTAGAAATGTTAATTACGTTTCTCAGTAGCCATGGCGGCGCCACCATGGTTACTAGCGAGCGCTAAATAACACTCCCACGCACGTTGTAATGGCAGAGAACTGTCAGCTGCCCAAAAGAGTCAATTAGGTACTGGTCACCACCCTGCGTAACAACCGCAAGCCCTGTGTTCCGTGTCCGATCGTAGAGAGCAAATCGACAATTAGACAAGTTGGTTCTGTTGAACACCTTGGTAGAAAAGAGCGAATGGTGAGTCCTCGAGGTAGGGCAACACGCAAAGCAGCTGTCATGTTTTCTATCTTATTCTGTGTCATCATCGTTCGTGCTCTTTATTAATATACCTGTCATTGCTAAATGAGCTCTCCTGTGTGAGAGCACACGCACTGGCCGGTCCGTCTTAATTTATTTCGCATTTTTTGTCGTTTTGTTTTCTCTTCTTTTTCAGTGTGTTGTAGGAAACCAGGCATGAAGTGGCTGAGCTACCTATCTTTCCTTCACCTTATTTACATATTGTTACGGTCGGCCTTTGTAGCTTGGTGCCGCTTGGGAGCGTGGGACCCAGTTAGCTGCTCCTGATTTGCATACAAACGAAGGCTTAACCAGTTTCACTGTCATTAAAGCAAACTTCTTATGAGCTTGCGACATTTATATTTACTTTTTTAGAACAACATATATCTTTAAAACCTATAGGTTAAGAAAGGCAGTAGTTACGCAACTTAGGTGATTTATGCTTCCTTAAAACGAGACAACCTATAAGGTCATATGTTGCAATTGAGGCTGGTCTTTCGTATATCTATCGCTATTTCGATATTTCATAAAAATTCAGATTATGTTCTGTTTTGCAACGTAAGTCGAAGCTCTAAACTTCGAAGAGCATGACATCATTACAGTGACACAGTTACATGCTAGTTATGGTAAGCCTGGATGAGCAATGAAACTGCAGGTGGCATTCGTTGCTTCTATTATTTTGTTTTACTTTCTCATCTGTTTCTCCGTTTTAGAAGTGACGCTTCTCATGGTAGGGCTCAATACGATGCACGGCGTGACCATCCAAACAGCGCATTCGCGCTCCTACCACTCTCTTTCTTCCCATAGAGTTTCCTAAAATTAACTAAAAGGGGCACTGGCACTGCGATCATTCAGCGACCACGGGAATGATGGGTAGTACACGGTTTTTCCCAGTCCTCGTATTTGCGGGCGCTAAATCGCATTTGTGGCTTCGCTTACTGCTGGTTTCAGTTTTGTTTCGAAGAAAATAAAGAACCATTTTGTTGAACATCGTGACCCGATTCGAAGGTGGTGAAGCGTAACAGCCGAACATTTGCCGATTGTTGTTTGATGACAAAGCAGCCCGAAATCACGCGAAGCCAGAACGAACGTATAGTACGAAGACTATAGGCAATTCGATGTCATACCCATGATTCCCTTGCTCGCTGAAGCGCTATGCGTTGAAGCTCCCATAACACTAGCACCAGAATTCTCTGTAGTGTACATTTAGAAAACTACATGTCCTCTTCTACGCTGCCCCTCTCTCTCGCCTCGCAGCGTCATCGCAGGCAGCGTCTGCTAGCGAGTTCTGTGTTTAGAAAGAAAATATTTTCACAAACGTCAATAACATTCAACAGGAAATTTTCTTCTTATACATACCATAACGATGATGCGAAAACAGATGTCATTTACATGAACATGGATATGAGATGACGTTGAAAGAATGTACGTTCGATGGTTCACACAAGCACAGCCGCAACAAATATTTCAAGGTAAACAAGAGACACAAATAAAACATGAATATGTACATTTTGCATATTTACATGTTGGCATGTCATTTATGCCGGCGCATCGACACTTCAGCCTACCAATACCAGGCCGGCCGAAAGACAAGTTTCACTCGTCTGTCACTGACCGACACAAAAGGGCAAGACCAGTGCTGAAGAAATTCCTCTTCACTAAAGAAGAAGAGCTGCTCCGACAAAACAGACAGCAGCTGCGAGTACAATCGCTCTAGGATCGGGAAGAGCGTGCGGCGGTGGCCCGCCGCATCCGCCTCGCAGCGGTTGCGCCAGAGGCACAAAAGAGCCGGCAACAATGCGAAGACAGGCGAAGCGGCCTTGCGAACAACGCTCAGAATAAACGAAGCGATTTATTCTGAGGCAGCAAAAAACGTGAGCAATGACACAATGCCTCACAAAATGCTGATATCTCTCCCGAAGGGAGCAGTTGGGGCATGCTGTTGACTTAGTTAAAAAAAACGACTGCTCGCGCTGCCCGATCATTTACTCGTCACCCAATATATATAACACTGGATCTTGACCTCTAAGGTAGTACCGGTTGAATAGTTCTCCAGTGTGTTGTTGAACAATACAAATTCGCAGCGCACGCGTTAAATAAAACTGGACTGCAGGTCTCCGTGTACCAACGGAGTCTTCTGTCTCTCATTGTCCATTAGCAGCGATTGCCATGTTCCTGTAAGAAGAACCGGTCCATCACTACGCGCTTGGCACCTCCCCGGGTTTTTCTCCTGCACAACGCCGCGATGATCGCCAGCGTCAATGTCGTCGCCAGTGTAAGCGTTACGCCGGCGGCTTCACCTCTACACATGGCTTTCTTTAGCGTATGATGGTGTAATTTATTTCTACCCGTATTTGTCTCTTTGATTGCTTTGTATTTTGTCATATATCCACATTTTGTACACTACCTCCTTTTCGTACAGTGTGTGTCTTTCTTTTCTCGTTTTCGCACTCTCTCCCACTGTCCTTATTTCAAACTTTTTTTAGTTCACTCTAACTCTCTATTTCTTATTTAGTCTCTATTTTTATTCTCTCACTCTGTCGTTCTTTGATTTCTTTTTATTTTTTCATCTGTTTCTTCCTGTGATATACTTTACTCACTCCACTCTTTCTTTCTCTCCTCCTAATCATCCAAGCACTCATCCACACCCGCACTTTTCTTTTACATTCGCTTGCTACACTATATCATTAAAGGCTACGTTATGATTGGCTAGCATGCTGGACTGCCGAACGGTCAAGATGCCCGCCCACCTTTCTTGCCGACGCGGGATTTGACGGCTTGGAAATGCCGCCTTGGCAAGAAAATCATTCTTCACCAAGGGTTTCTCTCCCTCATTAGGTTTGTATTTCTTTGTTCCATCTCCTTTTGTCTTCCCCTCTGTTTTTTTTTTACTTCCTCTGTAGTCGTTCTCTCCTCTGCCAGAGTTATCGGAATCATGAGTTGTACAAATAGGCACAAGTCTCTCACGAACCAAGTGAAATATAAAGAAGCTCATACCCATGAGTGGGTATCAGCCATGATAAAGGCATAATCATGATTATGGTGATAATGATGATGAAGACGATGATCATCATCATCATCATCAATCCTGAACAGTTGGCATGCTTTCCAGTTAATAGAAAACAAGAAAAACAGAAAATTACATTCATTCATGCAGGCCGAAAAAATAGTCTTCCTTGGGTCGAGCCCTCAGCTCAGGGCCCCATTGCCTCGCGCCGTAGCCCGTCTCGCTTGATCAGCCGACGCTACTTTTGCGGCTCTGAGCTACTCAGCGCAGTCTCACAGGAGGAATGTGAGAATGAAGGAACGGGGTGTTAGCCCGCTGGTTGTGGACATTCCCAAGTTCAGTGATACACCGTATATTTCGCTCCACAATAGAAGCAGTATTAGGATTTACGGATATTGTGTTAGGTGGAAGAAATGGAAGATGTAAAAGCCGTGAAAAACAAATTCTTCTGGAACTGCCGCCAGGCAACCACGTTCTCGGTTGAGTGGCTCGTGTGGTGGTGAGATGTACATACGACTTTTGTGGTAGTACTGTGGCCTGTAAGTCTAGTTTGATGCTTCGTTCGGTAAGTCGTCCTTGTTGAACAGCTCTTGCGATGGCGCCTGGTTTCCTACCGCACCAGCGTGCTTCTCTCAGCACGCAATTGAGAGAGGCGTGTCCAGGTATCCAGGTGATACGCACTCTGTGTTACAATGTGGGATGTACAGATGTTCGGATACGGTGGGTGAACAGTGTGGCCATTCTTTTCGCAGTATTCCGGCAGACAATTTTTTAATCATCAACCACTGTGACTGTTCCATCCTGCGCTGGTATTTGTGAAGCGTGCATGATAGCAAGGGCGATAGCAGCCTCCTCTGTCGTGCCGCTGGCTATGGTTTGAAGCGTAGTTTATACCGTTTGGGAATCGGTATTGTTCCCTACGCCGAAACAGTAAATAAAAACAAGACGCTGAGCACAGCAAGTGCTGGTTCATGATTATCATAAAATTCCGCGGAAGGGTTACAGAGGAAAGATGGCACACAACTTAGCTGTGGAAAGTTTTCAACAAATTGTAGAGGTTAAATGTATTGTCGAAAGATTTCGCAAAGAGTTGAAATTTATCACAAAGAGCACCTGTCATATTACACATTGACGCACTTCCTCTCAAATGCAAGATTGGCTCTATACATCTAAGCTGCGAATAACGGGTTATACAAACCCTTCATACAACCTTAAACATGATATACTGTTTGGAAGCCAGGTAGAGGGACAATTTTTTAATGATGGCAGACAATTGGGAGTTGTAATTTCGAAACGCCATTGTAGGGCTAACAAACAATTCAATTTGCTACAGTTACCAGTTTAAAACCGTGTCGTCTTCCTCGCAACATTCAACACCTCTTGAGGAACCACTTGTCTTGCGTCTCGAAGAATCCAGATCAATTCCTTGGCATGGCGGCTTTGAGTAGGCGTCAGAAAAGTGTACGCCCTTCCTGTACCGTCGTCACGAATTGCGGGCTTAACGCGGAGCGCGTAATCGTCCGCACTGCGCGGGTAGTCGTAGTTGACCACGAAGCGGACGTCTTGGGCTTCAAGGTCACGCACCACCATGTCGGTCGCCACGAGAACGAGCACTCTGCCGAAACGGAAAGCGTTCAACGCCAACTCACGCTCCTGGTCGCTTTTCTTGCTGTGGACACCCACGACCGGCCAGTTGCGCAGCCGCAAGCTCGTTACTAGGTGGTCTACTTTTCCTTTGGTCTCGACAAACACGACTGCCTTGTCTTGCTTGTTGTCGAGGATGTCTTCGAAGAGCGCGACGAGCCTGTCTTCCTTGTCTCCCTCGTCGCAAACGTGGACAATGTGTTGTGCACGCCGGTTTTGGGATTGCTGGCTCGTATCACCGAAGCTGATGGTCACGTAGTCTTCCATGACTTCATCAGCCAGCTGGCACGCCTCTCTCGTGTTCGACGTCAGCCACATGATAGTCTGACGGTCGGGCCGGACGTTCTCAACAATAAGGCGAATATTCTTTCCTAAGCCCATCTCTAGCATGCGGTCCACTTCGTCCAAAACTAGAAATGTGCAGCGGCCAATATTCACCTTGCATTCCTCCATGAGGGCTACGAGGCGGCTTGGCGTCGTCACCCAAACCTCGCACTCTTTCTCAAGCTGCGTCAGTTGCGCTTGCTTTGACTCACCCGGAAGAAGACATGCAGTTCGAACGCCCGAATCCTTCTCGAAGTGGCGGAACGTCTGCTGCACCTGCAAGGCCAGCTCGCGCGTCGATGCTAAGACGAGCACTGTAGGTCCGTCTCTGAGTTGCACAGAATTTTGGCTGTGGACGTGACGGACCGCCGGAATGACGTAGGCCATAACTTGTTCTCTGAACTAACCGGAACGACGGCAAGAAGGTCTCTGCCGCTGCGAATGACGGGCCAGCACTGGGATTGGACGCTTGTCGGTGATGAGCCAAGGCCCTGGGCCAAAAACACTTGCGTTACGATGTCGGGAAAGCCGGCTTCTTCGAAGCTTAAAATCGGTTTTGGGATGGCACGTCCAGCGACGGTAATATTGTTGTCTTTTCTGTAGCCATCCACTTCGCTTGCCGATCGTCCAGCCGTCACAATGTGTTCGCGGTACAGGTTCTTGTGGAACACTGGCAGCACAATCTTGTTCCAGCCCGGTGGTCTGAGGTTTCGCCCAACCTTGCTTCTGGAGGCGTAGCTGACCTCCCTTTTACTGATCCACCGCTCGTAGCTGAACACGTAGCTGTCTCCGATGGCCGGCGGCAGCGGGAACTGGTAAAATCCTCGTCGAGCACTGTAGCATAGGTTCGCCTCTGGGAGCTGCATACTCACATAGTTTACGACACCTCTCCACCCGCCTAGGGTAAAGAGGGGGTCGGGAATGGCATCCAACATGTGCTCTTGCCATATCAAATCACGTACGTCCAAACTAAACTGCTGCTGACCGCCGATCAGCGGACTCTGTAACATTTCGCCCACTGGTGGATAGCTCGCAGAAAGTTCTTGGTGATGCTGATGCTGATGACCTCTGATGGACGGCGCTCACCCACAGAGGGGGATGGGCCAAGAACCGGGCGGCAGGCAACTTAAATTAAACTAAAATGAAAATGAAGCCGATCTGAAAAAGTAGTTTAAAAAATAATACTACCAAAAAACATAAATGTTTCCTGAGCAAGCGGTCAAACCATCTCTTGATGTGGCTTGACCCTACCCGCACGTGACCATCACTTCTTCCTCTAAATTAATTTGACGCTCAGACACCAGAAATGTAATGACGCACGTGGCGAGCTTGGACGCTTGATTGGTAATTATAGCGGATTAAAAGTTTAAGGAAGCATTCGATAGTGCGAAGCATTGTTATTTTCTGATGATCTCCCTCTCATTCTTTTTCGCAATCGACCACACTGTCAATCGCCCTGGTGCGTATGAGTCTGTCTGCTTAGGCGACAAAAAAAAAACTTGGAGGAAACTTGATGTGACCTGCTGAGGAATTATGTACTACTAATTTGAAAAATGTTAATATATCTCTTCTTTTGTTTCTTTTTTTTCATCACTGCCACGAACCGTTCGCCACTGCCAAAATCATCCCCTCCTGTTGAACGCAATGTAATCAGCTTTCTTTAGCCTGTATATTCCTAACTTGTACGCTCACATTAACCGCCGGCTTCTTGCCCGACTCCCCTTAGAGGGTAACAGTCAGAAGAGAGCGTCAAACAAGCATCGCTTTCATGAGTAGAACGCGATAGCTTGATCGTGCCTCGTGGCTTCGATTCTCGGTACACTTTTCAACCGTGCCGCAAGGAATCTAAAGACTATAAGCGCGTAGCATTGACCATTTCCAACAATCATAGAATGTCTACTGAATTAACAGTTCTTGGGGACCCACTACGCTCTAATGGTTTCATTTGCGAATCAACGAATCGCTCGCTACGCGTCCGTATAAGGCAACAGGCGAACATTGTTAGAACACTTTGTATTGAATGAGCCGTCAATGTTCCCACTCGTTGCTCAGCTCACATGTTCTGGCGCCTGACGTGATGCTGCAATTCTGCAACACATTATTACGTGTTATAAGAAGACTACAAGGCATTTATAATGTTTCTTTTTTTCTGAATCCGTCTCAAAGGATCGCTTGGCTCAGTAACAGAACACCTGCTTGTTGCACAACAGGCCTAAATTCCACTCTAATTGCGACCAAACCTTTTTTGCGATTTATTGTATCTGCACCTTCATTGAAATTTCCTTCTCAGGCAAAATGGTGATATTTAGCTCCCAATTAACGACGCCGACGCAGAAATTTCTGCGAAACAAGCTCTTTACCGCTGTCGAGTTGAAACTTTCCCAACCACACGACCCAAGGCCAATGAGCTATACCTCTGAAAGCCAACCAGCCAACCAATAGCTGCACCAATTTCCAATGGTAGACGTCATGGACTTTACTCACAGCCTGTACGTAGGTGCCAGTTTTCTTTTGTGAGAGGGAAATAGAGCCAATAAATGGCGTAGTAATTAAAACCTTGTGTCACAAAAACTCTGGTTTGGCGAAAAAATGAACGTCTTCTGTGAGCGAAAATCCGAGACACGTGCCAATAAATTATTCATAAAACTTTTTAATTCGACTGGAAATTACACCACGGCCTTTTGTGTGGCATGAATGTGCTTCACTATAGAGCCAAGCAAAAGCTTGAAACTGCTCCACCCCCCCCCCCCCCCCCAAAAAAAAACAAAATATGGCAGCATATCCACAGAGTGAATAATGGAGAGTGGGGCGAAGCATCCGTCCATCCATTCGTTTTTGCTTCCGTCCATCCATGCGTGCGTCTGTGTGGCCGCCCGTGTGTCCATCCGCGCGTCCTTGCGTGCATCTGTTCGTGCGTCCGCACATCCATCTGTGCGTCTGTTCCTGCGTTCGTCCATGCATCCGCTCCTGCGTCCATCCATGCGTCTATCCGTCGTGCAGCCATCCACGCGTCCGTCTATGCATCTGTCTCTGCGTCCTTTCGTCCATCTAGTCAATACTCCAAGTACCACCATCTCACATCTTTTCATCATATATTCCTCATATAGAAGCACCGCCATCCAGCGGACATTCCAAGGACTGACCGAGAGGAGGCACACGCACACTTTTTTTTACGGCTTGCGCTTCGTGTCTGCTTCCCACCTTTAACCACCTCGAGTTCATGGTATATACTAGTTCACTGTAATCATGGCACTGCGGCCCAACGCTAGCTAAACCTTTCTGAAACCAAGGAGGTTACGCCCAGCGAGTATAACGTAGTAACCCTTTTTTGTCAGATAGCGCTCAATGTACATGCGAATGGCTGTTAAGGGGGAATGAGAGACAGGAGAATTTGGCTTCTAGTTAACGCACACGCTGCAAATTTTTTATTCTTAAACATCCCACAGAAGAAATCTCTCACCGGCACCATCTTTGGAGGTCAAAATATAAGACCTCCAAGGTGGTTACACATTACGTGTAACACCCCCTACGTGTGTGTAACCCCCTTTGAGGTCAAAATGTAATGAATGTGGTTACACACTACGACTACTACTACGACTACGAGGGTCGAACGGGTGCCACTGTAAAGAGCTTCGCCCCTAAAAACTTGGGCTTGGATCGCCAAAATAGAAGTCCAGGCAAGTATCACTTTGTCAATAGAATGGAGTGACTGTGAAACGCAATTTCATCACTCGTACGCGTTGCACAACGAGTTGGAGATGGCCGCGTCTCTGTTGCCCGATCTACAGTAGGTAATGGCTGCGCCTACCTCGGCAGCAGCGTCCACCAACCCGTCTAGCACAAGCACTGTTATGGCACTCGCTTGCGCTTTGACTTCTTGGCTCCTACCCACTACATGGAATTTCCTGGGAAACTGACGGTTAGTATAAGAAAAAAAATTGTTTTTTTAGTTTAAAAAGGAATAAGGAAGCAATCAATTTCAACAAAAATAAACGGAAATTTAAAAAATGAATTATGTAGATAAAATGTTGATTTGATATGTGTTGTTTAACGGCCCGAAACCACCATGTGATTATCAGAGACGCCATAGTGGAGAGCTCTGGAAATATTGACCACCTGGAATTCTTTAACATGCACTGAAATCTGAGCACACGGGCCAACAGCAGTTTCATTACCATCGAAAACGCAGCCGCCACTGCCGGGACTCTATCCCGCCACCTGTTCTAAATTACCAATTTTTGATAAGGAATGTAGTTAAAAGCAAAATCTTCTTGCGTCACCTAAAAAATCGTATACAGCTGAGCAAATTTTCTGTCACTCAATCCCACAAAAAACACACCATAGGAAAGAACGTTTTAAATAACGAGTAATTTTCAGTTTCTGAATAACTTGTTGAAGTGTTTTTTTTCTATAGCTAGTAAAATAACGGCACGTAACAAAAATTATCCATTTTTTCAATGTCTTCAGAGTAATAGCACATGGGAAAGGGCACCAGACCAGACTATATAAATAAAAACTAGGGGGCGGGGGTATAGAGCACATTTTGTAATGGTTATTTGCATTTTCTAGTAGGAAATTGTTTACTATTTCAGGGAAACCATTTACTATTCAAGAAAAAAGAAAGATGTCTATATTCTGCAACGGATAATTCCTAATGAGGTAAAGCATCTTGAAATAAAGAATACTTGTGATGTCTCAAGTTACTAATCAAAGCTGTGTCAGGCGCAATTGACAACGCTGAAGTATCAGCCATGTCGTTAACAAATACGCCATGATCACCTGGCACCTATACCGACCGCACGGTACTCAGGTATTTAGAGATTAGTTATCCCAATTAATTCTGTTTGAAAAACTCGACAGAAGAATTCAGAGATAAAGATCTACGTATTGTCAGTCACTCAGTCACTATATGCCGTTTTGGAAGCAACAAAAAGAAAGAAGGCAGGGAGGTTAACCAGAAAGACATCCGGTTGACTACCCTACACTGGGGGATTAGGGAAAGGGACAAGAAAGACGAGAAAGAGGCCAAGTGGCTCCATATGCCGTTTTGGAGTTACTGGTAAACTACAGACGTGAGTAGATAGGCGGGCCTTGTGGTAGTAACTACATGTTTGATCGCTCAAACCGTATCGCTTCGCTGGTCAAGCTCGAGCGAGTGGGCATGCGGCACCGCATAATATCAACAATAACTGCGCTACATGCAGTGCACAAAAAACCATGATTCCATTTTTTGATTTCGCTGAAGAATAGTAAAGTGTAAATATTATCTAAGAGACTTATGTTTAGAAAAAGTGGTTAATGATTTAGAGTACTTTGTATTCTATACTATGGGAGAGCATAAAGCCGTCCCATAGACCTCACACTTGATGAGGCCTAGGTCACACAAAAGTTCTGGCTGAGAGCGTCCTAATATGAGCAAATGTACCATGGCACCGTCAGCCTATGGTGTCACATCTGTTTGTCACACATTCTTCTAAGTGACTTACGAGCGTCAAAATACATAAACGCACAAGTGCAACTCGCGATTCGTAAGTTGACAGCTGATCATTTATCGGCGTTGTCACTCTCGCTGCTTTTACGGCCTTCCATGTGCACTAAAAAAATACTCATCGTCGCAATTTTTTCTTTCAGCAACACTGCTGAAAGCAATCAGAAGAACTTCTTCCGTCAAACGACATTCTATACTTCGAATCAACATGTTTACACTTATGGCGAATTCCATTGAGAGAACAGGAGTAGATGGGCAGGCCAGTGAAGAGTGGGAAGCAGAGCACTGAGAGCAGGGCCACTTAACCTGCCACTAGAATGCGGCACGCTCCCGGAGAGCAGGTGAAGAGGGTGATGAGCGGAGAGACCATGTGGTTGAAACATTTCATGCCCCGGCATATTCTCTGCGAAGCAGCAGAGAAATACGCTTGAAATCGGTCAGCCACGTGCTCTTCGTTATCCTATATTACGAAGTATGTTTGCGCAACGACGCATTCGGCAGACGCCCAGCTGTCATTGTAGCGATCCGTA